AGGCATTTCATCTCTTAATGCCCCAAGGAACTCTCTCAGACTATAAATTACAAAAAAAAAAAAAGTTGTTCATTGGCATTGTTGGAAAGAGTTTGCATCCCCTGGAGTTAGCCTACCCTGCACTGATAAAATCACAATTTCCTTCGAAACAAGGTTTAAGAGTTCAGGATGAGTCTGTTACAAAGAAGTGTAAGATTGTCATACTGTTTAACAGCCTAAGTGGCAACTTTTTCTTTTATCATTTTACACAGATATAGATGGTAAAACATGGGAAGCAAGCTTCCAGTTATTTGAGGTGTCAAATTGTTCGAATTTCGAGTGATTTACCATAGAATTATATAAATACAATGAAGTGTCTAAAAAGCATGTATTTAGTGCCTACAGATTTACTTAGTTCAGTTTTCTTTTTAATAACAATATATATATGTATACATTTCACGCTTAATTTAAAACTGTAATACTGATTGAAATTCACTCAAGTTATTAGCCACTAGTAAAGGACTTTGAAAATTTTTTTAATATTAAGTTGGATTACTGTTAATTATGCCCCTACTGTTAGTGAAATTCCTCTTTTGATAGAACCAAACAAATGACAGTTTGTTGTGCCTTTTTCATTGAATATAGATTTTATGAGGGAGAGGCAGTATGACATAATGGAGAACTAGTCTTGTAGTGATAAAAAGCTGAGCTCAATTCAGGTCTTTGACTTAAGACTATTTACTGTGGGATCCTAGAGAAGCCACTTAATCTCTGAGTGCTCTAGGCAACTATCTAAGATTGTAGATTACAGAGAAGGTACCAACCCTACACTGGCAGAGGGAATTCACTCATCTGGGAGTTCTGTATACAAATTAAATCTCAGTTCTATTTCCTATCTCTATTAAATATAAAATGTGATTCTTGAAGCAAAAATAACCAGATGTCTTTACTTCCCATAGATTGACATAATTTTCTTATTTATTCCAATTTGAACCTGGCTCTGAAAACAGGCTGGTTTATGTGTAAATTCGTTTCTACAAATGTTAAGTGGTATGTTTCCCTTATTTTGAGCATTCCACCTCCAGCAGAGGAATAACCAAAGTACCACTAACCCAAAGGGGCAGAGCACACCACACAGTGACACATGAGATTTTCAACATTGAATGAATAGTCTGTGGTTTTCCAATGAAGTGGGTGGTATTCTCTTTGTCTTATGATGGCTATTATTTCTATACTGGTACCAATGTGGAGATGGTTAGATATCAACACAAATAATATAAGTAATCTGGCCTTGTAAGATATACCATTTCCACAATGCACAGAAAACTGATATTTTGGAGAAAGTCTCTGGGAGGCTGTGTGCAGTCGACTGGGATTGGTTCTTGGAGAGTCCTCAAAAGTAGTAGTAGAAACTGCATGCAGTCTTGGGGAGGGGGGTGGAGAGGATGGGGGAGAAAAATTTAAAATTCAAAAGCTTATGGAAGTGATTGTGATAATTCAAAATGAATTAATTAAAAATTAGAAAAAAAAAGTAGAAGTACAAAGATGAGAGAGAGGTATGGGATACCTCCTTGCCCCACTGTGAGAAGGGTAGATAGCAGAAATGATTCCATGGGATCTGTGGCTACTGTTGAGGACTGATCCAATTTATGTGAGGCAGGCCCCACCCCATCACTAGGTTCCCCTTTCCCTTCTGTGGCTCTAAGCAAAAATGGAAGGTTCTGATTAACTACATTCACTTCCAGCATCTAATCAGGAAGCCTATTCCCAATCTCTAAAGTCAACCACTGGCTATTGTATTTCCACTGACTGTACCGATCAATTGAATGTTCTGTTCATTCTTCCCTTTCTGTTCTTACTGTTTCTCTGTGATACATAAAATTAATTTAATGAGCTAACCTTGGTTATGTGATTATTTAGGGAAGGATGGAGCTGGGGGGCAGAGAATGCTGGTTAGGAATAAAAGTAATATATGCATCCAATGCTTAGTGTAGAAGCCAGCCTTGGACAAAGACACTCCTGGGAACTTAGCAACCCCAAGGAACTGGCTACAATTGCTTTCCAAACTGGTCCAAGGTTATAAATGAGGTGGGTGGGTAAGTGGGAAATAAATACCAGGTAAGGTAATTTGCAATCCAAACCATAAATTTCCCCTATTGTTGCAAATCTGAAAGTTGTGAACTTTAAAGAGCCCTAACCACTCCTGGCTTCTTGTCCACCCCTTCCCTGTTGTATGGTTCCTCATCTATGATACTGTACCACAGTAAATTTTTCTAACACATGGGAGAAAACTACCATATGTCAACCTGACTGAACTAGCCTCTAATCTGTGGATGTCTGGAGATGAACAAAGCAAGCTAGAGATAGGAGACTCAGGAATCAAACAGAAGTTTAATTTCAAAGTGAGGGAAATGGCTTGCAAGCAAGGAATGGAATTAGACATGTGCTGGGGACTGGCCCCTAGTATGGGGATCCAAGGCAGTGTAGGGAGACCTCAATACTTATGCCAATAGCTACTCAGTGAGTTGTACCCCTGACAATAAGGGGTAAGAGATGAGCTGCATTCATAGCAGGGTTTCATGACCAAAACATGGGTACTTATCCAAGCTTGTCTGAGTTCAGAGGACATCTGCGGCTGGTCAAAGCGATACAATAATTATATGAAATAATTCTGGTATTTTGCTGCGGCTGAGCACAAGGAATTATTGTTATGCCAAGCTCAGGGCACAGGCTTGCTTGCTGGGCCTTAGATCTGGAAAACAGTGTCTCCTGATATCTTGCCACATATGTGGGGAGTCGCCTTCTAAGTTTTACACACATACACACAGAAGAGCAGTGGCCGCAGAAGCATGATATAATGGATAGATGAGGCTATCTGACATACATATATGTCTACGTGTATATATAAAGACATATACATAAATATCTATATAGGAAGCATTCATTAATAAATACTTTTTGGGTCTTGAAAGTGAGTTTCATCACTTTCCCTATCACAAATCTTTTTTAAAAAGCAAATGAACCAAGACAAGTCATTAGGTCATCAATATACAAGTGGAAAAACTAGATCCCTTTTTGCCATCCATTATGCGTAGCTATCATTTTTAATCTTTGGTACATTAAGGTTATGATGAAGTGGCCCTAGCCTTACCACTGGAAGAAACAGCATGTGGTTATTATTGTAGGAGGGTGTAATGTATGTGTGGTGTGGGGTATTCTAAAAATATTTTGGGGGAAGACAAGAGTTTAGCTATGCATCTAAATCAAGGGAAGTGGACAGAGCCAGCTTTTGGGCTAGACAAGTACCCAACATTAAGCTGACTCAGTTTTACAAATGTAGATAATGACTAATGGCACTTCAAAGCTTTGACCAAGAACTAAAGGTGAAGAGTTAAGGAGAGAATGTCAACTCTGAAGTGGAAAAAGGGACTGAGAGCTGGGTTTTCATTAGGGATAGCCAGGTATTAGTTCCTGTCCAGGACTGCATGGTGGAAGCTGTTTGTTTACGATTTCTTTCCCAGGAACTAATGCAGGCAAGTTTTTTCCTAAAGCACAGGTCTGACCAACTCATTCCTCTAGTCAAGAAATCCCCTTGGCTTCCCACCACTTAGATGATCAAATATAAACTCTTTTTTCTAGCTCTTTACCACTTGGCTCCAACGTACTTTTCCAGCCTTACTCCCCATAATTCCCTTTGTATCAGGAAATGCAAGCTATTTTTACTTCTCAACTGCAAATCCACAACTAACTTCTAGACATATAACTCACAAAACATAAAGCTATACTTTTCCCCCTTTCTTTAATATGATGACAACAAATTAATCACCTGACCCATACATTAAGTTTTTGAGTTTTGTGTTTTTTTTAAATCTGTTCACAAAAATATTTAACACAATTCCAACAACTGGTGGCTATTTCCTGGCATAAGATGAATTAAGATTTTATTTACTTAACTACAACCTTTCATCAATAAAAAATATTCCTGAGACTAAAAACCTTCGAGAGATGCCTGCAGGTTAGAGATGGAAACGCTCTCTCTGGGCATAAAGGAAAACATATTCTGCATTTACATGAAGAAAAAAAATTGTTTACTCAAAAAAACTGGGGAGGAGCCATTTGTTACATTCATTTATATTTCTAACGTGGGATGAGGGAGGGTTGGCCTCAGAGCCAGGAAGACTTGGGTTCAAGTTCCGCCTCTGACACCTACTGGCTGTGTGCGCCTGGAAAAATCACTAAATCTCTGAGTGCTCCCTCCGGGTAACTCGTTGCAGAAGAGGTGCCAACCCGCCTTGGTGAAGACAATTTCCTCACATGGGAGTCAAACCTCGGGTCCAGTCCCTAACTCCATCTAATCCTCTCGTTTGCGATCCCGGGCGCACGAGCTTCGTGGAGCCCCCGGGGACGGCGAACAGAGCAAGAGCCGGGGCCGCCCGAAGGCTGCTCTGCCTCAGCCGAATCCGGGGTCAGCTAGGCCTCCCACTCCCTAGCCCGCCTCAGTCCGGAAGCTTTGGGGCTGAGCAAGGGGCGAGCTGTCCCCGAGGGGTCCGGTCCGAGCGGGAGCGGCGGGTCCCAGAAGGCTCGTTAAGGGCCTGCTAGGGTCAGGGCCTCACCTTCTCCCGCACCGCCGCCATAGGACCGCCGCCCAGAGCGCGGAAGCCGCGGACCCGCGTCGCTCATAGCAACAAGCCCCTCCCTCTACCGCAACATCCGAGTCAGCGAGTCGGCCGCCCTCGGCCCCTGACCCACTTTGGTACTCGCATCTCGGAACATCTGTTTTTACCGCGAGGGGGCGGTTATTTATTGTTTGATTGATTTAAATAGCCTGGGAGGGGGAGGGGTAGTTTATGAAGTAAGGCACTCGTTCCGCCCCGCCACCTTGACTCCCTCTCTCCCCCTCCCCAACCCCGCCTTCCTGGGACTTCTGGCAGCGTGACTATCGTAGACGCGCGCGCGGCCCTCACGTTCCGGGGGCGCGCGCGCCGCCGCCGCCACCTCCTCCGGTCCGGCGCAGCCAGTGTCAGTCGTTGGCTACGGGAGGGCGGTGGTGATGACGGACGGGCGTGACGGCCCCGCCGCGGCTGCGCCTCCTCCCTCTCCTCCCGCCGCCGCCGCCGAGGCCTCGTCAGACTCATCATGAGAGGTGAGTTCCGGGGAGGCGGGCGGAGCCGGGGGCTGGGGTACCCGGGGCTTCCCTCGGGCTGGATCTCACGGGGGAGGGGAGGGCTTACCGCGTCACCTCCCCTCCGCAGTAGATCCCGGCGGCTCCCTGTTAACGTCCGGAATCAGATATGAAATCCTCAGCTTGGCTTTCGGAGCACTTCACAACCAGCCCGCCTCCCCACCTTTCCTACTTCGCTCCTTACGTCCCCTCCCCCCGCCCCCACTTCCATCCAATGACACTGACCTCCAGGCTCCGAGCGCCGCTCTTCATCTCCCGACTCCGTGCCTTTGCATTGGCTGTCTTCCGTGCCCTGGAATGTCCGTCCACCCCCAATCTCTGCCTCTTGGCTTGCCTGGCTTCAAGTCTCAGCTAAATCCCACCTTTCCCAGGCACTTCTTAATTCTAGTGCCGTTCTTCTGTTATTTCCGGTCTGTCATGTATATAAGCCTGTTTGTACATAGTTGTTTGCATGTTGTCTTCCCTTTTAGATTGCGAACTCCTCAAGGACGACGACCGTCTTTTGCCTTTCTTTTTGTATTCTCAGCTTTAGCACGGTCCCTAGCACATAGTAGTTTAATAAATGCTTATTGACGTACAGTGAGCTCGCTGTTTTTGCCCTTTGTATTTATTCTTAGCATTTAGCACAGTTTCTGGCACAAAGTCGGAGTTTAATGAATAGTCGTTGACTGACTGAAGCAGGCAACTCCTGCAGAGGAGCCCCGGACTCCCCTTTCACTTGGGGTGGGGTCTGTTTAGGGGCTAGAGCCAGGAAGATTTCATTCCACCACCCCCACCTTCCTTGCTATGGGGGAGGTAGAGCTGTCCAGCCGGGGCCTTTAGGTCCCAGGTGGCTTTTTGTGTGCTTCATGGGAAGATTTGGTGCCTCTCCACTCCCACCCCAACCCCCACCTCCGCGTCTTCTTCCCTGTTTCTGATGGATCCACTCTTGTGCCCAGGGCATTTTTTTTAAGGCTATAGTTTGTCATTTTACTCTCTTCATACTGAAGGTTGACCTGGCAGAGTTAATCCGCGACTGTCAACAGGTGGCTTTTTTATGAGCTGTTGGTAGTCATTTAGGTGCATTCTCTTAAAAAAGAAATGTACTTTGCTGTTCACTGCAGCATTAATTATGGGTAATCATGAATCATTATTTGGCTTCAGTCTTCCAGAAGGCTGCATGGGGTAGAACTATAACTAAACTGAGCAACAAGTTCACCTTTTTATGAGGCATTATTTCCTATATTTTCCCTAGAAACTCAGGTGTTTTTGCAGATGCTTTCTTTATCATTTGCCCTCATAATGGTCTAGTGTATAGATAATTTAGATGATACTGTTCCAAAATTACATATTAGCAAACTTTTGAAAACTAATATAGGAAGAATCAGAGTTGTTGCTAGAATTCAACTCTTTTCTGAGAACGTTAGCCATGCATCCTAACAGATTAACCTACTGCCTCCTCCTCCTCCTCCTCCTAGTAGGATTCATTTGTTGTTGTACAGTCACCCCCATTTGGGATTTTCTTGGCAGAGATACTCAAGTGGTTTGCCCTTTCCTTCTCCAACTCATTTCACAGATCAGGAACTGAGGCAAATACGGTTAATTGACTTGCCCATAGTCACACAGGTAGTAAGTATAAGGCCAGAGTTGAATCCAGGTCTTTCTGATTCCTGATTCCAGGCCTGGTGCTTTATCCACTGCTCTACCTAGCTGTCCTCCATTAGAAGTATTCTAAACTTCATGTTTGCATAAGAATTTTTGCTGTAGGAAGTTCACGTAAGAGAATGTTGTGGTAGTAGATCTTTTGTTACTAAGGAAGGAATAGGGATCTAGTAACAAATGATATACCGAGAGGGGTATACCTGCTGTGGTAGTTGGTTCTGGCAAATAAAAATCACTAATGAACAGCATGTTATTTTCTCTGTTTAATAGTTGTCTTACCAAATATATTTAAAAAAGTCTTTTTCTTTTTTTTACTATTTACTTAGGAGACATAACCCTCAAACAAATACATCTGGATCAAAGGAAAAGCAGTCCAAGGCCATGCAAGCCACCTGTAGTCACCTTCACAATCTTCCAGGAACTGGAGGCAGTGAGACTGCCCCAGCTTCTCATTGTGCCCATACTGTAAGAATGACTGGTGAAGGTTCTTGCCATCATCCTGGAGACATTCACATCCAGATAAGCCCTGTACCTGGAGAGTGTGGTGAAAGTCCAAGCCCTAGAAACTTAAGGTCTGGTTCCCAAAGCAATACTCAGGGCTGCATACACGGTCGATTAAGAAGTCATTCACACAATGAAGCAAGGCAACCTGATGATGCTACCATGGAGCCAGGAGAAAATGGCAGCAGCTCTATCTCTGAGTTTCGCTGTCTCTTCCATTGGTTACAGAAAAGTCTTCCATATATTTTGATTTTGTGTGTCAAACTGGTAATGCAGCATATAACAGGTATAACTGATTATTAAGTAACTAACTTTTATTGCTAAATTAATTTCATTTATTGTATTTATTTACTGGATAATTTAACATTCATTTCAGTTTTTTTTGTTAGCTTTTACAATGTTGTATATTTTGTTTTAATTTGTCTTAGCTTTCCATAGTGCATTGCTAGCTTGAATACTTTTGGAGGTTGAACATTTCATTTTGCTATCTTGAAACTCCTGTTTGATTTTTTTTTCTTCCAAATAACTGGGACTTATTTTCTAACAGGCATTTCTCTTGGAATTGGGCTGCTAACAACTTTTATGTATGCAAACAAAAGCATTGTAAATCAGGTTTTTCTAAGAGTAAGTACAATATTCAGCAATTAAACATTTTTTGAAACACCAAATTTCTCTAGATTTTCATGCTAACTTTCGAGAGAAATGGGAAGACTAGATCATGTTAATTTGGCAGACATAAATGTATGCACTGTGACATTCATAAGGTTTCATTCTCAACCATATTACATGGATAATTTGCCTATTCTTATGTTGCAATTCTTCATCTGATCTGAGAAGAGAGCATGTGGCTGGAATCCTGATAGTGGAGGCATACGCGTTGAATGAAGTTTTTTTGGATTTTAGAAAATACCTTCTAACCTCATAGAATGGGTTTAACTTGATGACTGCCTCTGTTCTGTGAGCCACTTTGACCATATTTATAATAACAGAACTACCCATAAACACTTTGCCAAATATACTACTTGTTGTTTTAGGATGGAATTGGGTTTAGGAATAATGTGTTGAACTGTTCTTTCCAACTGAAGCAAATCTAAAAAGTGTATCTTAACATAATTGGTGAAGTAGATAATTGCTCAGAAAGCATGTCCCCATATTAATCTATGGGCAAATAGAATTAGTTTACTGAGTTTCATTTTAAGGCAGCTTTACAAATATGCATTTCAGTTATGGCTCACAGACAGAAATCAGCCCTTTTACAGTTTGGCAAAGAGAACTGCAAGTGCAAAAAAAAAATAGCCCATATAAGACTTATCCAATAAAACTAATTTTTTTTAAAACTTAAGACAAGCCAACTCATTTGGTTAATTTGTAAATATTTTTGAGTTAACAGTGAATTTTTAAAATGACCCTTAGAAAACCACTTTATTGATTTTAGTGCCCAATTAAAATATTAACATTTTAAAATTTTAAATAAATATTTTAAAAATTAGCTTCCTTTTTGAAAACTTAGCCCAAGTGGAACTTGTTTGTTTTTTGTACTTGGCCAGAAGTCCTTTAAACCAGTTTACATGTGATCTCACCTACCTGAAAATAGGCTTTAAGACATGTTTTTTTCCTTTTTTATCTTGAGGAAAACCTGTATTTGCAAAATTCGTCTTAAAATCAATTTTGTTGCTTCACTAAAAACCAAAATTACAAATGATAGTGACTAGAATGAGATACAAATGAACCAAAAGCAAGTCACTCCATAAAAATAACTTCAAAAATCTGGAATTGACCATTACATTTAATACTATTCATATGCATTTAAATTCTGGAAAAATTCAGTTGTAAATTACAAAATTGTTTTATTTTACAGGAAAGGTGCTCAAAGGTACAGTGCGCTTGTTTACTGGTATTCTTAGCAGGATCTTCCGTTCTCTTATATTACACCTTTCAGTCTCAATCACTTTATTACAGGTAATTGGAGCACATGTTCCGTTTTTATGCATGTCAGTATCTACTGGAAACTTTAGTCTTTTAGGTGTCAACAAAGACTCATAGGCTGCCTTCCAGGTGTCATATGGGATTTAGAGCACTTAGAGACTTCATACCAACAGGGCGGTTTGTGAGATGTTACAGCATAGAATGGAGGTAGAAAACAGAATTGTTTTTAGTTATATCCTAGGCTTAAATAAGGTGGAATCCAGGTTACATTTTGAAGTAGTGTGAGATAGTTCAGCAGGTTGACTTGTGAGGTGGTAGATTAAACTAGATTATGTCAAAAAGTGAAGCCAGATATTTCATTTTAAAAATTCCTGTTAAGAAATCTAAATTTTTAATCGTGATCCATCTGAATCAGAATTTGAGATTTTTTTTATTTTAAAATTATTTTTCTATATAAATAAAATGTCTTTAGCAAATTTATTTTTTTTAATATAGCAACATTTTATCTTCAATAATAACTTAATATATTTCTTTTGGTAGCTTAATCTTTTTAAATCCTACTTTGGATTTTTCGAGCTTCTGGGAGGTACTCTGGATTGTGGGAATTACAGACTTCATTCTTAAATTCCTCTTCATGGGCTTCAAATGCCTTATTTTGTTGGTGCCTTCTTTTGTGATGTCTTTTAAATCCAAGGTAAGAAAGTAACTTCTTGTTCATATGGGGAAAATGTTGAAACTGATGCATTGCATTTTCATTTAAAACATTGATTCATTATTAAGATGTGGTATCCTTATAATAAGTGAGAGATTCAATAGGTCTACAAATTTTCTGACTGGTATGATTTTAGAAACAAATTAAAATCCAGTTTACATCTCCGCAGAGAGAAAAATCATGTTAAACATGTATTTTTTATTACATGGGTAACATTTAACTAGGTATTGTAACTTTTGTCATGTTAACATTTGTAAGCTCCATTCATTGTTTAAAACACTAAGCAAAAAGTTCCAAGTTTGCCTTAAATTTCTAGTGAAGTTAAATTAAAGAACTGGATAATGCCTATATTTTTGCCGTACAAATTGTGATGTATTTTAACTTAAACCAAGATGACTTTTAATTTTTACAGGATTCTGAAACTTTGTAGATGTAGAGTACTAATACTTTAAGCTATAAGGAATTTGATGTGGCTGTGTATCAGATTATTTAAATGTATTTGTTAACTTATTTCGCCTCTGTGTATGTATCTTTCTAGCAATAGGGTTTTATTTTGTTTTGTTTTACATGATAAAGTGGCACTTAATTTACTTTCTATTATAACAGTACTGATGACCATTCTTTTGGTTTTGGTTAACTGTTCTTAAAGTACCTTGTGCTGTTGTTTTAATGATATGTGATAATTACTGTTGTGTGTTATTTAATGTTGTTGAAAGGATTGTTGAAAGAATTGGATTTAAAGGCCTCCTTTCTGCAATAATTTCTTTAATTAAAAAGATCAGATATGAAAAACCGAATGCATTCACCTTCATCTGTATGTGAAGTCTCAATTTTGTAGATTATTTTGCAGCAGTTTTCATCTCTGACTGGCCACTCTCTACTATTAGCTGGGATTTGTTTGGAAAATGCAAACTGAATAACCAGGGAGTCATAGAGGAATAATATATCTACTACAAAGAAAAGCAGGACTAAATTCAAATTCAGGTTGAACTTTAGAAGAGTTTAAGTGTCTTCTCTCTATAGAGTTGTCATTTGATGTTTGACTGTGATTCTTCATAAAATCTTAAGTCAGAAAAAGAGCTAATTGAAACTTTTCTGAGGTTTTTCATTTCTTTCATATCTGATCAATTTGTTGATAATTCCAGTTTTAGATACTTCCCAGGTGAAGAGAGATATTCATGCTAAAATTTAACATAGTTAGATGATCTACACAATCATACAAGTTTTCTGGCTGTTCTAAGTAGCAGAATAGAGAAATCTGGATTGCTGGGTTCCCATCCTGGCTCTGGTACCATGTGTAGAGCAGATATCTTCTGGGCCCGATTTCTCATTTGTAAGGTCAGAGTGGAAGTGGAGAGGTTTGAGTGTGATATATTCCAACTCTAGATAATATGATCCTGTGAAGTCTTATGATGATGAGATTTAGGATTTGACTGTGATGATTAGTTTGTCTTCCTGTCTAAGAATTGTCTTGATTACATTATATTTAAAATTGAGTTATATGTTATACCTTATTAAAACAGTATTGTAGAGCTGTTTAGTCTTCATTGAAGACGGGTTAAGTTATTTTTTACTATATGTAATACCACTTTCCTAAAATTACTCTGGGTACTGTTTTGAATAATTTATTTATTTTTAGTTTTCAACATTCATTTTCACAAGATTTTGAGTTCCATATTTTCTTCCCATCTTGTCCCTTCCCTCACCCCAAGATGGCATGCATTCTGAATACCCTTTCCCCTAATCTGCCCTCCCTTCTATCTCTTTAGTTTTCCTGTAAGGCAGGTTACACTTCTATACTCCATTGCCTGTATATCTTATTTTCTGGGTACTGTTTTGAAGTAAATAAATTCCTTACATAACATGGGAATCGGTCTGTGATTATAAGTGAAGTACGGAATCAATATCTGTTAATTTCCTAGGTAAACTATCACTCCTTGGACTTCAGTACTATTTATAAGAGGCAGCAAGAAGAGTACTGGATAGGGATCCGGATCTGTGGTTCAGGTCTCAGTTCTGTTCCTTAACTGCCCATGTGTCCGTGGGCAAACCTCTTCACCTTTCTGGGTCTCCTCACTTAGTGATCTGAGAAATTGGGGGAATTAGGACCTTATAATGTATAAAGCTATATATAAAGCTATGTACTTAAAGCTCATTGTGGATTTATATGTGTTTCCCCTTTCTTCTTTAGGGCTATTGGTATATGCTCATAGAAGAATCATGCCAGTATTATCGAACTTTTGTTCCTATTCCAGTTTGGTTTCGTTACCTTGTTAGCTATGGGGAGTTGGGAGGCAGTGTAACAGGATGGAGTCTTGGGATTCTGCTGGGTCTGCTCTACCTCATTCTAAAAGTATGTAATATTTAACTTGCTTTTGATAAGTTTACCAAAATCTTATAGAAATATTTCTGGAGAGCCCATTGATTGGGCTGATAGCTGGGGTTTGGACCTAACCACAGGCAAATCAATTAACTTTGCTGAACCTCAGTTTTCTCATCTGCAAAAAGAGGATGGATACACACACACACACACACACACACACACACACACACACACACACGGCATTTGGTTTATCTAAGCTTTTTTTTTTTTTTTGGTTAGGCAGTGGGGTTAAGTGACTTGCCTAGCGTCACACAGCTAGTAATATGTCTGAAGCTGAATTTGAACTCAGGTCCTCCTGAATCCAGGGCCAGTGTGCTACCTAGCTGCCCCGAAATTGGTTTAACAATTGAATTAGTATGAAAAGTTAGAAATTACACTTGTTAGTATTACTATTTAGTATTTACTTGAGGGCTTAATCTGTCCTGTCACTATGGTGAAATAATAATAAATATATCAAGACATGCGTAAAGCAAACTGCATTTTTCTCTTTTTGGTTTTTGATGTCATCATGTTAATTTTTACCTACTACAAGACTGCAGAAGTGTGATGGATAGATTATAAGGTGAAGTAAGAAGCTGCAGGTGGGAAATTTGTATATATATTTGATTTGTCATTTCAGATTTCAGTTAACTCTGAGTTGGATCTTACCAGCAAAGAGTTGTTTTAACTCTAAATTTAGTAAATATTCAATGAATGAAATTGAAGTCAAATTTGAGGGACAGTCTTAATACGGAATTAAAGGAATCTGGTACATTTTCAGAAAACTGACTTAGGATTTAAACAATTAGATTTTGAATTAGATTTAAACAATTAGATTTTGGGGGTGAGGGTGGGGTCATCATATCACTGAAACTTGTAAAGCTTGGAAAAATGTAGCTTTTTGCACTAAACATACTTATTCTCTGTTTCAGCTTCTAGACTTTTTTGGGCATCTGAGAACTTTCAGGCGGGCTTTACGGATATTTTTAACACGCCCAGTAAGTAATCCATTTTCTAGCTACAGAAAAATATTACTTGCATTTTGTCTTAGAAAATGCTATCTTCGTAAGCTTATTCCAAGAAGTGCTCAGGAATAATTTCTTATGTAAGTTGTTGAATGGCTTCCTATTTCATACTGTATTTCCCCCTTTTTTGTTTGCCATTGGAACTATGATAGACACTGGTTTTCTCTCTTTAAGCAGTCAGCAAGAATTTATTAAGCACTAGGAATAGAAAGAAAGGCAAAAATATGGTTCCTGTCTTCAAGGAGCTTTCTTTCTTATGAGGGAGACAACATACAAGATATATACAGTGAACAGGGGTTGGGTAAGAGCAGAAAAGGCCTCTTAGTGTATTAAGATAAGCTGAGTCTTACCAGAAACCAGGAGACAGGTGAGGATGGAGATTCCAAGGCATGGAATTAGGAGATGTGTTGTTTGCCAAGAATAGCAAGAAAGCCAGTACTGCTGGATTGCAGAGTATATAGAAGGGAATAAAGTACAAGAAGACTGGTCTGAAGGGACCCGGTCCTGAAAGGCTTTAAATGCTAAACAAAGGACCTTATATTTGATCCCAGAAGTAACAGGGAGCCACTGGAATTTGTTGAATGAAGAGTTACATTGTGAAATCAGTGTTTTAGGAAAATCAGTTTTGCAACTGAATGGAGGATAGATTGGAGTGGGGAAAAGATTTGAGGCAAGGAGATTTAATGTGAAGGCTGTTTCCAAAGTCCAGGCAAGAAGTGCACCAGGTAGCTGTGTGAGCGGAAAGAAAAGGATATACACCAGACATGTGATAAAGATAGAAATGATAAAACTTAGCATCAGATTGGAGAGGATGACACTGTGGTTGTGGGCTTGGGTGACTAAGAGGATGATGGTGTCCTCAGTGGTAATGGGGAGGTTTGGAAGAGAGGAGGATTTGGAAGCAGTAGTTCCATTTTGGAAATATTGCATTTGAGATGTCTCCAGAACTTTGAAATATCCGATAGTAAGTGGTGATAAGAAACTGAGAAGTTAAGGCTGGATATATAGATCTGGGGAATAACTTCCATAGAAATGATCATTAAACCCATGCAAGCTGATGAAATCAGTATAGTATCAAGCAAGATACTATAAGAGATGAAGGCCCAGGACAGAGCCATGGGAGATAATCCAGTGGGCATAACTTAGTCCTCTAAGATCCAGCCAAAGAAGGCTTGGAAGTTGTCATACTGGGAGGAGTACCAGGAGAGAGAGCAGTGTCACCAAATCTAGACAGAAGAGTCTTATCTAGGGGGAAAAGGTAGAAATGTTGAAGGCAGAGAGGTCAAGAAGAACAAAGATTAAGAAAAGGCCATTATTACTGGGGTTCCAAAGTTTTAGTGGAGTTTTAAGCTGCACTTTTGAAAGACCCTGTATCTAGCAGATAAGAAACCTTAGCGGTTTCTGTGGGATGAGGTCGGAAGCCAAACTGAAGAAGATTTAGATTCAAATGAAGTGTTTTGATTAACACTTTTCACAACTAGATGCTAATTGTTACAATGCATGTGCATTTCAGATAGGCTTGTATTCAAAAACAAAAGTTTAGCAAGGGTGCTCCAAGCTATATACATTTTTTAACTGGATCTCAAAGATAAAGCTTATATATACCCAGGTAAAAGAGCTACAGTAGAACCTTATAAGACACTGAAGTTGATATCTTAGAAAATAGAAGAGATGAAAACTACATGCCTCACCCTTCTTTGCAGAGGTGGAAGACTCTATGCGTGTGTAGCATTGCATATACTGTCAGATTTGGTTAATGTGTTTAGTTTTGCTGAGTTTTCTCCCTATAGATGAGGTATTTGCCCCAAAAACTCAGTTAAGGTTTTCTAAGGGTTTATTAACGATGCCTTAAAAATTTTATGATCTTTTGTTTCCCTTCCCTTTCTAGTTCTGTTTCATGCAACCCTATTTGCAACCCTATTAATTCCCAGTTAGCTCCTACTAGTATAAGATTAAACATTTTTTCACTTTATAATAGCTAGCTGTACTACATATCACTTTAAGGTTTGCAAAACACTTTGTGTTCGTTTATCCTCACAACATGGTTGTCAGATAGGTATTATCAACAATCCCTATTTTACAGATGAAGCAACTGAGGCACATAGGGGTTAAGTGACTTGTCCAGGCTCACACAGCTAGTCTGACCCTGTCTGAGACAAAATTCAAACTCAGGTCTTCCTGACTCCAATTTTATATATATGAAAATCTCCTTGCAAAATCTCCCTTACTAAGGTAGTGATTTCCTGCCCCTGCTGCTGTAAGATTTCACTGCTTTCTGCACTTTAGATAAATCCTTTGGAGGTTTGAAAAGCAGTCTGATTCTAGGAAGACTGCTAAAGATTTGAACATCACATATATTTTAGGGGTAAAGGGATGGAGGAGCAAAAACCGTGGAAATTAATGAATATGAATGACAGAAAATAAAAAGTAAAATTTCTTATTTTTGTAGAGTTATGGGGTGACAGCCTCCAAAAGACAGTGTTCAGAAGCTGATGATCTTTGTTCTATCTGTCAGGCCGAATTCCAGAAGCCTATTCTTCTCATCTGTCAGGTAATTATAAATAAGTTTCCTCTTAAAACCATACAAATCCTCCCCACTGCACAACCCCATTCTCTATTCCCTCCCCACCCACAACTCCCACCAGTGCTTAGTTAATTTATGAAGATAATATCAGGAATAGCATAGGAAGCCATTGGAAGGGGCACATTTAAATTTGTGGAGCTGTAAATGAAAGCAATTTGGAAAATTCTGGAGAGAAAATCCAAATTCTATTTTTAGATTTTGAAATTGATTTGACTTAAATTGCCCCTTTGACAGTCCTGAAAGGTACCTGTACTTGGGCTAAAGTATAATTTTAAAAGCATATATATCACCACCATTAAGATCATTGTAATTTGAATTATTAAACTATCATGTGGCTGATACTATAGAACACATATTCAGAGTCAGGAAACTTATTTCCTGGATCTGCCACAATATAGTTAGCATTTCTAAGGGTCTCAAATTTATATCCAGATTTAGGATATCATCTAAGTCGGTCTGAAAATCCTATGAAATGTAAATTTAATAGGCATTTTAGATAGTAAAATGTTAGATGGAATGTTTACTAAGTGTAAAAGCCAGTTCTTGCTTCCATTACAGCATATATTTTGTGAAGAGTGTATCACGTTATGGTTTAATAGAGAGAAAACATGTCCACTTTGCAGAACTGTTATTTCAGACCATGTAAACAAATGGAAAGATGGAGCCACTTCATCACATCTTCAGATTTATTAAATCCTGTCAACTGCTATTTGGTGTTTATAGGATGCTGGTTTTCATTCGATGTTTGACTAAGTAATGTGGGTACTGCTATAATTGAATTTTAAATGGACTTTCAATGTTTTTAGTTCAAAACTAAACTTGAGCATCCAAATCAGACATTTTAGACTATTACAAACAAGTTAAAGAAAATTCTGTCTTCAGACATGAAATTTTAAGAATTAAATGGGTAAAAAGCAACCCTGTGTTTTTTTTTGACTTTTCTTCTAATTCAGTGTTGTTCAAACAACATTTTCATCTGTGTGTATTTAAAGATCTGTATAATGTTAAATTGTTTAGACATTCTCAGTATGTAGTTGGACAATTAGTAGTTTGTTTTGAGGAACTCAGGCATTGTTTCCTGCTGGAATCAAAATCTTATTTTTTCATGGTTTTAAGGTACATGTATATAAAAACGGTTCTAGCTTTTTAGAGAGCATTGACTTTTATAAACCCAATTCTGAATTATTCCTAGAATTCTTATGCCACTGTAAGGGATTTCAATGTATTTTTCTTGTGTTGGCTTTTAAGAATAATAGGAATAATTCCTATATTTTATAAAACTTGTATTTTTTAAATTTAAAGTTCTAAATACTATATTTTGTCTAAATTAGATTTTCCAAGTCAAAGGAACTGACTAGGGAAGGTATATTTTAACCTGTATTGTTAACTGTCACTTTAATTAGCAATCAGTGAGAATAAATGAAAGTTAAAAATTTTTGGTGGATCTTATACCTATATACATACATATATACACTGCTGTCAGCTTAAGTGTTTTATTATTTTGCTTTTATCTAGTGCTACTGACCATCTTACACAGTTAACAATATAATTTGTTGATTGTGAAGGGGTTTTACACCAAGAGCAAACTCCATAAACTTAACCTGAATCTGAAAGGATTCTTCATTACATATTTACTGTAAGCCACAAAATGATTTAGCTTATTTTAATCTTCTTTCTACCTCTGTAGTTCACTGTGGGGCTACTGTGCCCTTGAAAAATCAGGCAATCTTACCTTAGTAAGTTACTATACAGCTTTATGGTATTACTTTGTCACTTATTTTTTGGTTACACAGAAGCTGATATTTCCTTTGACTTGACTTGGTCAGCATATCAAAGGAAAGCATATTTGGCCTTTCTCCTTCCCTGAGGAAATGGCACTGAAGTGTTATCAAATGAGTCAGATCTACATAAATGGAAAAATTGTCACCTTATATTGAAGTAGTGGGCTAATTCTCAGACTTGGTTATATTTTTATTATTCTTGGAAGAAAACTCAATTAAAGAACCTGGTAGAGAAGTTTTATGCAGAACAGACTTGTCTGACAGTTCAAATTTTGTATCAAATTATTTTCCCTCTAAGTTTTATATGAATCATAAGAATTTTCCATTTTTGCTGCTACAAATTCATAAGTTGTTTTATGATTTCTATAAAAGCAGCATATCATATTGTATAACTGTATTTCAAGGGATATTTGTACTTAATGTATTTTTCCAATGTTGGAAGTTGAGTCAGTTTTCTGTAAATTCTTTAGTTTAAAATCTCGTTAGTAAATCTGAATTGTGTTCTAATTAGTATTTAATTAAGTTTGCACCCATGGTGTCTCTTAAATTTCAGTATGCCTTACTGGGCAGAGGAGCCTCCTTCCTCATAACAGTTTCCCCTAAGAGTCTGCGGGGGGGGGGGGGGGCGCACGCCTGTGTCTCTGTCCTACCAGCTAAAACTTTAGAGCTACCACTGTTTAAGAGCCAGTATTCCTTTGCATACTCTCCTGTCTGCCCCACTGATAGGTGTGGGTGGCCCTAATGAAGAAAGGAATGTCGAGAAAATTGCTAATTAAGATTAGATTGGGCTAATGAAGGTACATCTAGATCATAATTCTTCTTTTGGGGGTGTGGGGCAGGCAGTTGGGGTTAAGTGACTTGCCCAGGGTCAAACAGCTATTAAACGTCTAAAGGCTGATTTGAACTCAGGGCCTACTGACTCCAGGACTGGTGTTCTATCTACTGCACCATCTAGCTGCCCCCTAAATCACAGATTCTTAAACTGGGGTCCATGAGTATGTTTTCATAAATATTTTGATAACTGTCTTTCAATGTAATTAGTTTCCTTTGTAATCCTATGCATCTTATATATTTAAAAACATTATTATGAGGAGTCCTGAAGGGCCTATGACACTAAAAAGGTTAAGAACCCCTGGGATGGATTGTATGATGGATTGCCAGGGAGTATGCATCAACAGTTGGAGGGTTTATAGTGGAACACATACCATTGTTATTCTAATTCTCAATTTCTTTCTGGAAGGCCCGCCTTCCTTGTAAGATTACTACTTATACTTCAAATAATGCCTTACCACTACTGCCCTCTTCCTTCAGCAATGATTTTTCTCCCCATTGTAATTCACACTTTCTGCTACTTTTTCACTTGTATATCGTTTTATTTTATAGTTATTTGTGTCTCAGCCCATTCCTAGACTGTAAGCTCTTTGAGGGCAGGGACTGTGCCTTATCTAAACTGCTTGGAATGTAGTAGCTCAGTGCTATTACACAGGTAATTAATAAATTTTGAATTTGAAGCCAGTTTGAGACTAAAAAAAAAATTTGAACAGCACATGATTTAATGTTGTCTTAACTTTTCCTGGTTTAGAAAACATTACTACAGCAACCATAATACAGCTAAACTCCAAGTCACTTCAGTTCTGTATAAGATAAACTCCCAACAATTACAATCCATACCTATACCTGTCTTGTTAAAACAACTGTCAAAAGAGAAGGGATGGGACATAAACACACTGGTGAAGTAAAGGCACTCTTTTGCTAGCCTTCCCTTAGGAGAAGAGCAAAGCAGACTTTAACTTGTTCAGGTATGTCTTTCTCCCAACACAAGCATTATAAAGGGGTTCCATTATTTCAGAAAAAGTTTTGTCACTTTGAGAACTATTAAAAGCAAGGTATTAAAAACCATTGTCATAATCAGCAGTCTCCCTCTGCAGGATGTCATGTGTGTAAACCTGTCATATCTTGGAAATTTGAATACTAAGACAACCAGAGGTTTGCTCCCCATATACAGACATCCCCTAGATGAACACAGAACTTCCCTTTCTCTGTAGCTATGGTTTGTCTCCTCGGGGTCTCATTCCCTACCCATCTTATTTTTAACCTTGAATGGTTCTTCTGCAGTGAATTTCCAGGTCACTTTTTAGAGATCAGATATTCAAGGTGCCACACTTCTCTTCCTAGCTAAAAACAATCTCCTCTTCCTCAGAATTTTTCTTACCACTTTGGACTTTCATATACCTTGTTCTGCCTTCTATTAGTTGCATAAATGTATCTCATCCTCATTAAATTGTAAACTCCTTAAAGGTAAAGACTTATTTCATCTTTGTATTTATTCCCTACTCATAGTAGGCATTTTAAGTGTATTTTACATGAGCCATTTTGTACTATCTCAGTAGCTCTTGAGTATTATCACAAGGTCTAAAAAGGAGGGGTGAGTAGAATAGGAGTGAGAGCTTTTTTTTAAAAAATCATTTTGCTCTTTGGCTGCAGGCAATTTAAATCTCTTCCCTCTCTTTTCACTCCTCCCCAAATCCCTGACAAAAAACCACCACCATCATCATAAACAACAACAAAACCCTGTATAACTTCAAAGCTGAAGCTTCATTCTAGTCTCCAAAGTGGGTTAAGAAAGAAAAAGAGAAAATAGCAATAAAAGGGGCACCAAAGGACTTGAGAACCTGTGTAAAGGCCAACTCCCTGTAGTTCCTTAACTGATTCTCATTCATTTGTCTGTCTCCTGCCCTACTACAGTCCTTGTTCCAAGCACAGGATAGTGTGCTAATTGCTGGGAACACTGCCCAAAAGTGGAGATCTATTCCTTGGCTTCCCAAGTTGGAACCCTTAATATTTCCCCATAGAAACAGTTTAACGCATATTGGTATATGTGATGTTAAGTAGATCTTTCTGCCTGACCTAACTACACAAAGTATGATATTTCTTTGTGAAAATGAATCCTGAGTTACAAACAGTGAGATTAATCATGTAGTGAGACTTCTTTTAACTAGAGATTTGCCTAGTTTCTATCAATAGTTTGTTTGTACTTGTCAATGGCTATTCTTACTGGCGACATTGACAGAAGAGTAGAAAAGGCACTAGCCTTAGGGGACCTGGTTTTAAATTGCACTTCTAATGTTTACTACAGTCAGAACTAGGCTGGATGAAAATGAAGAAGTTAGACTACATGTCTTCTGAGGCTGGTTCTAGCTCTAGATGTATAAGCCTAATCCAAAGCCTTCTGAATACTACTGGACTTAGAACTAACTTTCTCAGCATGACAACAAGCAAACAATTCAAATCTACCAACCAGCACACAATTAACTTTCAAGTAGCACTGTTTATGTGGATTGGGTGGCAATTAGAACCAAAATTTTAATAAGTAGTTGCCTTTTCTTGGCAGAAAAGCCAGTTGTCTAATTTGAACAATCCATACATGCATAATAAGACTGGCTTATATATTATCCATATTTGTCCAACCTGAATACATTCTAATTATTTCTAACTAGACTTAGAACAATAAATAAAATGACTTCTAGTTTATGTTCATTCAGATTTGCATTTAATTGCTATTTACATCCATTCATTCTGAAATAAAGTATATTTTATTACAGTAAACTAAATACAAGATGAAAAGCAGAAAAGGTGTTACCCTCACACCACTCCTAGTAAGGCAGCTGAATAATTTATTTTGATAGATGGTTGCAAAGCCAACTTGGGATAGCAGAAAAAAGAACCACTGTAAAGAGCAAACACAACATAAGTGAACCATCCCCCTTAGATGTAACAACCATATCCCTTTAAGACAAATCTTGTGCTGTTATGTTATGAATTAAGACAAATGAACAGTTCTGCATATTCTTTCCCAACAATAGACATATGGATCCAAATACTTTAGTATATTTTTGTCATTTTCCAGACTGCTAGTGACTACTACTAATGGAAAAGGAGATTTGGACTTTAATGGTTATTCTTCACCACCACCCTTTTTCCCACCTCCCCCCACTCCTTGAGTTAAAGTAAAAAATTCACTATTTTAAATATGCCATCAAAGAGCCAATCCTTCATAAACTCAGTGTTTCTTATATAAATAACCCTTAGGGTCATAGAAATAAATCTTAACTAGTGGCCACATAACTACAAATTCCCATAAATACCGGGTCCTGTGTTAAACATGAAGTTTGTAGCTTCACCATCTCTCTGTACATGAATTCCTTTCATGACATAACCATATATTACCTAGAATTTAATAAAGGTTGACATTTGGCATACCAAACATGCACCTTACCCCAGTTATGTCTACATCAAAAAATAGAATTGGGGGTAAGGGGGGGAAGACACCAACAACTTATAAGGATTAAATTAGCTTAACTGCAAGGAGTTAGAAAGGGAAGGGAATGGATACTCTCTAAAAATCTTAGTAATTTTTTTCTAAAAAATTCTGGTACAAGTTAAAGATTTAATACTTTAGTTAAAGTAGGGTTTGTAAACTGCTGAGATTAATAAAGCTCTAAATCCTATAAAATCAAATCAGTACACGAAGCTCAGTGATTACACTGTGGTTAAAAAAAACTTACATGAAAACAAATTCTATAGTTGCCTTTTTAAAATAAAAGTTTAAGTGATCAAAAAAAAAGCACTGATAAGCTCTTCTACATAGTAGCACCTACCTCCAAATAATCATAAACTAGATTGAAGCTCCTCCTAGAAAATTTAAGACTAGTAATGACACTACACTTTAAACTACATTTGGATTTTTACAAATAAATATAGGATTCAATTCAACAAATGCTTTTTAAATGGATGTTTGTTAAATTGAATAGGATAAGCCATATTGCATAGGTGTGTTTGCTGTCTGTGACACCATGTTTTCACAGTCATGTCAGGGATATCCATCATGAAGTATGATTTCTTAGCATGTGACAGCATGGAAGTCAAGTTCACTTTTAATGGCCATTAAGCTGGAGATAAACACACACATATCACACACATCTCACACACACACACACACACACACACACACACACACACACGTATATGTGGGAATATAGTTAACACTACTTGTGTGACGAGGAAAAATAGGTTGCCATTAGTGTCACCAGTACTAATTTAAAAAAGATAAATTATGAATAGGATGGTTATAGCTAGCCAATCACAGTGCCAATGTTCTTAGTAAGTAGGACTAAAGGAGACTTTCAGTGGAAAAACATTACTGGAATTTGGTCAAGTACATGACAATATGTTCATATGCTTGGGTACAAGCTACAGAATGTCAAAAGTTCAAAATAAAACCCATCCGCCAATACACATGACCAGCACTGAGTTCTACATTTTTGCCAAATGCCACAAATTAACCAAAAAACAAAGATGTTGCCATTGAAGTTGAATTTCTGTCCTGAACTATTACTGTCCATCAAGAGCAATACTGGAAGTTCTTAAAAATACCTGCTGCAATACAAAAAATTTAAAGAAAAAACTTTTTTTTCCAGATCCAAAAAGCATCTTCAAAGTGGAACTAGCAATCATTTCAGTTACTGCCACAACTGGAAAAAAATTACTTCTAAATCCACTTTTGGATACAGTGGCAGGATTTCACCTTGAGTTACTGAATTACACAAAGCAAATCTTGCCTTTTACCGACTGGATTCAGTATGCATAAAGAATTTTATGGCTTGGATCCTATGGCTCAAAAAGGTTTGGCATGAGCAGTGTCTATTTTTTTAAAAAAATTCTTATGGTTTGTGAAATATCATAAGTTGACTTTGCACAGTCATGGACTAATGATGAGACATGACAAAAGAATGACAAGACAAAACTGCAGTTGCATGGATCATCCGTTCCACCAGTATGCACCTGAACACACACTTATAAAGCTTTGCTGATATCAACCCTTTCATGAAACCAACTAAAATCATGGAAATGCTTTCTTTAAGGCAGGACATATTTAAGTAAGGTAAAGTTACCCTTATTTTTATCCTTTGTACCTGTAAGTACAGAATTTATGACAATTTAAAAAACCAGCATCTTTGTAACGTTTCCTAAATTAAGCCACTAAGGTCTCTTTACTGTGGAAGACATTCATCAAAAGGCCATCTAATACTTTTACAATCAGAAAATGCTTAAGCCCCGACACAGGAAAAAAGCATACTTTTCCCCATTCTTTTTAAACTGTTGAGGAAAAATGGAAATGGAGGGTAAACACCATACACAGTAAAAGAAATAAAAATTTTAAGATCTTACCAGTTAGCTGTAATGAGATTACCTAAAACCTGGAGAGCAAACTCATTCCCCGAAGTATCCCCAGTCCCATCTTCCCTGACTCTGCCTGCCCATATTTTTATCCAGACTCTCCTTAGGGCAACAGAGACTGACTACATCTAAAATTTTGAACCAAATATTGGTATAAGACTAGGTGGTGGGTTTTTTTCCAGTGAAACGCAGGCCCAGTATAAGGATGAAATACAGGATATTGAGTTTATGTCTGTCCCATGGCTTCCAGTTAAGCTTAGAACACAGCAACACTGCCAGTGGAAATGACTGCATGGATCCATTTCTCCTAGGATTATGAGTAGTGCCCTAAGAAAACCTTAAGCTCACCCCCAATCCCTCCAACGAGCCAAAGCTGTAGTTAACAATGATTCATTTACCATTTTATTATTTCACCAAAAGAAGAAACAGAAGTAGTCTGGCTTTCTTCACACCAACCAATCATTTTGCATTTTAAAGTTTGGGATGCTTTTCCATAATGAGCTGAATCAAAAATCTATTTGAAAAATATATATTTATATAAAAAAAAGATTCATTAAGTTTTTGCACGTAAAACATCAATTGTTAAATTGTATCTCTTATCTTTGATTCCACGCTGCTGGAAAAAAGTTTGACCAAGCTTGCATGCTAATTTGTCCTCATTTGCAAGTATAGGCATTTCATACTTTGCCCAATGAAAGAGTTAACCTTTCTCGACACAATCATGACAACAGTGATTCTGAGGCAACATCCTACCCTTAATACTGTCAGTTTGAAGCCATCAACATGAAAATCCTTGATAAGGTGAGAAGATGTCACTGGGAATCAGTTAGCTGATGTGCCTAAAGTTCGGCAATACTATTTTTCTTAAGTCTTTTTGCACCATTGATTGATTTAAAAAAAAAAAAAAAAGAAAAAAACCACCCATGTTTGTTTTTCCTCTTTCCAAACTGTCCTGTGCAATATGACACTGGCCCTCTGAAACTGTCACCCTTTGAGCCCTCATATATTTCAGCTTGTAGGATGTTCACGTCCCATTGTTTTTTGCCTGAAATTTGTTGAAAATGTTGCTGTCATAGATTCATACGCAAGTGTTCTGGCCGTTTGGAAATCATAGGAAAAGCTTGTTTTTTGTATGGCCCAGAGTTAGGCTGTCGGATTGGAAGTGGTGCTGATGCCTCTCCACTCACCGTCACATCCATTTGTTCTATTCCACTCGTTTCCATGGGATAATCCACAGGTGTCTGAGTAGTTGCTGCACTGGCTGAAGCACCTCTTCCCCAGAAATCCCCAGGAGAAAATTTGACTGGGCTTTAAGACAAGGTAGAAATAGCACTTAGTAGCTGTCTCAAGGGTAACAGCAATCTTAAATAATTTACATTAAAATAAATGAGATAGTACTCAAGGACCTTCGTTTTATTGTTCTATGTATTAGCACCACATGTGGAAAATAAAAGCTAAGGCCATTCCTTTTGATACACTATATAGCAAAACTGGCTTTTATGCAGCAAGGGCAAACGTACCAATCACTTGCAATATGAGGAACAGAAAATGCTGCACTAGATCAACTGAGTGAAAGGAAAGAGCAGAAAATGAGAAGCTTGCAAATCTTAAAGCACTACAATTGTCAGCTAATATTAAAATGAGAATGTGATAACCCATCTACCTCTCCTACGGAGAAACAAGCCAGAATACTGTACTGTACTATGCTGGCAAATACCTGACAGGTGTCCGAGGGCTGCCAATGAATCTTCGAGGTGATCGGATTTTTGGTTCAAATGAAAATTTTTCTTTCACGCTTTCAAGTACAGATGGAGCCACATATGTAAAACCCTGAAAAACACAACAATAGTCCTGTGACAACATGCACATTAAGGAAACGTAATTATTTAATCTGATATATCAAACATAAGTGTATCAAAATCACCAGTCTATATACATATTATCCCACCCTTTCCAGATCCTATTTTCATACTTGCCAACCTCCTCCCAGACCTCTCCCTAAACACATGCCTCAGTAGAAACCTAATCAGGTTTCTTATATACCAGAAAACAAAAACCCTGTTGCACCTCAAGGGGCAGAAAAGCAAAGAAAACATGTATTCTACAGCATGGTTAAACATTGAGAAAGATGCAAACAATATTCATGTTTCCACTCAAAAGCTGTTTTTTTAATAGGAATTTAAACCAATACACTGAATTTCTTATGGGCAAGTGAAAGACATCAACAATGTTTTGACTCGTAAGCCCTGGATCACAACACATGCATCTGCATCATTTGGCATCATAGAATGAAGTTTCACATAAATGAAGTTTTCTAGATTTAAGTGAAACTTACCCATTCAAGTGCCAAAACTTAAAATAATTTAAATGGAAATCTTTCTAAAATTTATTGATTGTACACTTGCCTGCCTTCTTAAACCAAGGACAAACACAATTTAGCTTTTTCTTGATGACTTCAGGTCATCACTATGAACAGTTATTGTCGTAGTACATAATAATACAGATTCTGTGTCTTCTTTTTAGTTTTTCTGTCTCTTACCTCACTGTCAGACTGTCACTTCTCAGGCAGGCACACTGAGACAGCAGTTAACAGCCCCACCTCCATCCCACTTCTAAATTGCTGCTTCTAATCTGCTGTAGGCTGGGAAACCAGATAATCAAGCTGGTTGAGAATTATGTGTTAAATATCATAAGGCCTTACTAATAGTAAGACAAAGTACAAGACGTTTTTAGTGGAAGTGCTTTGCGACCACTACTTCTGGAGCTCAAAGGCCTTTTTCCTCATACTTCCAGGTTTGGGGCTGTGTCCCAGAGGCTTGAGATTGCTCGAAGGCTGACCTCTGGATAAGTAAGAGGAACACTTTAGGCACAAAGGTCCAAGGGCAATATAACAAACTTTAAAAGATTTGGTCTATTAATATCAAGTACAAGAAAGAAAGTTAAGTGTAATGATAAAGAGTTAGGCAATACAATAATAAATTTCCACTGAAATGGGTTGAATTCAATAATTTAAAATTTTACTATTGGAGAAGAAATAAAGATCTCAGCCAGAGACTAATGTAACCTGTGTGAAATTCACTTTTACCACTTTTGATTTTTCCCATCCTTGAATAAAATATTTCCTGATGCTGTCTACTGATGGGAATTACTACCCCAGCTGAAACACTGCACTACTAAGGGGAAAGGTTTTTTGGCTAAGCCAATTTCTGAGAAGCAAATGAAGCACTTTCATTTTTTGGTAGCAAACAAAAGAAAAAAGTAGTGCCTAAGTGATATTCATTCCCTAAAAGGTACCCTTTTATTCAACTACACTTTTTGGTAAAATTCAAAGAGCTCAGTACCACACCAGACCTAGAATTAATTTTTAAAAAACCCTTCCTAATCTCCTGGTTTCTACTTCCCCCTCCCCCACAATGGAGAAATAATTAAAATATGGTTAAGTTAAGAAATGTTATTTGAGTAGATCTTCAAAAATGTCAAAATTCTTTAGCAAATAAAGTATACAACTGCAGTCTGTTTCTGGTATTAAAGAGTTATGTTTTTGAGGTTTTCATGGATCACTTCTCTAAAGATGACTATCCCCTCCCCCTACCCACAGATGGGAAGCTGAATAGCATTCTCTATTCCCCAAGCAGTATATCATCTTCACTCTCCAGCTAGAAGCAAGTTGATAGGCTAGCGATGAAAAATATGCTGCTGGTACATTTGCTATGTATGGTATTGGATTAAGGACCAATTTTCTGGGTTCAAATGCACTATTACAGGGAAAATTTCTAAAGAGAATCTCTCAAATGCTTTACATGAGCTTGTAAAGCAAGAAAACCATCCCAAACTGACTTTTCTTGTGGAGGGGCACTCTCTTATCTTTGCATTTCCCACAGATGCATGAAAATCCTATCTTACCAGAAAGACCTGGTTGGCACTTTCACTGAGAGTTGAGTCATCTGGGCTGTCAACAGGTGTCTGACGTGTAAACTTTGAATCAAACTGGCTCACATCCTCTTCAGATTGCTTTGCAAAAAGAAAATGGTAAATAGGCTATGTGATACATCAAAAGATTTTGTATCCATCTGTGAAGCTTCTAAATGAGGCTCATCCCATACCTTTTGACTTTAATAAAATCCCAGAACATAATGACTATTAACAGACATTGACACTGAAAGCAGAGGCTGAGTACCAAGAATAAAAACCCACAAACTATTTTAAATATGCTTTTAAAATTTTAAACATGCTTTAATAATATGGTTGACACTTCTTAGAACTTTGTATATCATACTCCTATAGAATGTATGCTCCTTGAAGACCAAGGAATGTTTTGTTTAAAAACAGATATGAGAGTTATCTAAAAAGTCAGTTCACAAGCATTCATTAAATCATTTCTCAAGTACCAAGACACTTGTTAAACAATTACTAATAAGACTGTCTGTCTCTGTGTGTGTGTGTCTCTCTCTCTAAGACTAGTGTTGCTGGATCACAGTATATGAAGGTAATTACAGTGAAAGATAACAGGCAAGTTAGGAAGGGGCTAGGGAGTGAAGGGCTTTAGAAAACCAAACAGAGGATTTTATCTTGGATCCTAGAGATAGAAGGGAGCCACTGGAGTTTATTAAGTAAGGAGCTAACATGGCTCATCTGTCCTTCAGGAACATCATTTTTGTGGCTGAGTGAAGGACAGATTAGTGTGGGGAAAGATTTATGGAAGGGTGACTAATAAAGAAGCTATTGCAATAGTCCATGTAAGAGGTGATGAAGGCTGAATTAGGGTGGTGGTTATTTGAGCAGAGCAAGGCAACAGACTGGACATGTGAAGTGAATGTGAGAGAGGAGCAGAAGACGACATCAAGGTTGTGGACTCGGATGACTGAGACCATGGTGGTGTCCTCCACAGTAATACTAAGGGTTTGGGGGAACAAAACAATGAGTTTTGGATATGTTAAGTTTGAGAGGTCCACATGACACCCAATTGGAGATGTCCAGCTTGTGGGCTGGAGTCCTGAGAGAGACCAGGCTAGATCTAATTATGATAAGCTCTGGGAATTGTAACTTAATTATTGGCATAAACTGATGCTAAACCTAGTAGGGCTAGCCGTCATTTTAGGTAATCTAGTCCAAATCTGTCATTTGACAAATGAGGAAGCCAAGATTCAAAGTGACTTGTCAAGTTCACACAAGAAATCTGTGACATAACGAAGACCAGAACATTATTCTTTTGACTTCCTATCCATCTTCATCTGCCTTTAAACTTCCCAAGTAATAAAATACAGAGTCTGCTTGCAGTGAGTACATTTATCCCTACCACCTAATCACTCCCATGTATATCCAATAGCCCTGACTAAATTCTTACTAGGAGCTGGCTAATGCAAAAATTACTAATTTTTTAAAAAAACAGGTTATATATAGCACTAGCTTTACAAAATTTCCTTGTGGGTGGAAGGAAAATCCAAGATAATTCATTTAAAATAGGGCAGTCTGTACTCTATCTTTGAATTCCATCCAGTTTCCAGATTAAAGCGAAAAAACATGTCTTAGTGTAAGAGCCCCGATGCTTGCTAATTCACCTATTACTTAAGACTGAAAAAGGTTTTGAAAAACAAGGTAAATTTCAATATCCTGAATTGAACACTAAAAGTTTCTAAGCAATATTCATCATACATCCAGAGAGCATTCACTACTGCAACTAGTTTCTTTAAAAGACCTTACAAAATGACATTTCCCAAGAGAGGAAAGAATAAGACAAGTTTGTCTAGAGTTAATAACATGATAATAATAAGAACTGACAACAGTTCTTAGATTTGGGAAATGTATCATTCTTCTCAACAAAAATGGGGGCTGGATTCTCAGAAATGTTTTTAATACATGACATACCAAAAGAGGTTTAAAGGGAGGCTCCACCTTCCGAGCCAGAAGTTCTTCCCAGTTAATGTGTCTGAAGAAAGGATGAGCCTAAGAAAAACAGAGAAATAACTGACTAGGAACAGCCTACACAGGTCCTGTAAGACTTACAGCTCTCTATATGATTTAGCTTTCCAAGTATGCTCAACATTTCTACATCCCTCACTTTAAAATAAAAAAAGCATCTTCCATAAAAAAGCCACTGAGAATCCAATGTGCCAATTCTTACCTGAACTTCTCCAGCATCCCCAGGACCAGCTCCAAGACGCGAAGCAGCATTTCTTTTTAGCAGCTTTGAGGAGAAAAAAAAGATGAATGATTTAAAACATAATTCTTAGGAACACTTATTCAAAGTTATAGTATCTATTTTCCAGTAATTTCTCCTGGATATTATTGGGGAAAAAATAACAAGTTTTTGATCAAAAACATCTGGATTTTACCTTCAAGAAAAGCATAGCTATTAATCCAATGTCCATGACCATTTCAATTCTCAAAATATCTATTACACACCAGTTAAAATGGATTAAAGTTTAATCTTACTAGTCTGTCTCAAGCTAACAACAGATGTTTTGTGTTTATGCTTGTGTAAGAATGTGTATATATGTGTATATTTGAAGAAAACCTACCTTTTTAAGCAGATCTCTGGCTTCTTGTGTGAGGTAGGGAGGCAAATTAAGTTTACATTTGAGGATTTTGTCAATTGTCTTCTTTCTGTTCTCCCCAGTAAATGGGGGCTAAAAGGAGGAGGAAAGCAGGATTAAAAAACAAAAAACAAGAGAGTCTTTACAAGGGATTTTTAAAAAAATAGTTTCATGGGGGCAGCTAGATGGCACAGCGGATAGAGCACTGGCCCTGGAGTCAGGAGGACCTCAGTTCAAATCCGGCCCCAGACACATAACACTTACTAGCTGTGTGACCTTGGGCAAGTCACTTAACCCCAACTGCCTCATCAGAAAACCAAAACAAACAAAAAGTAGTTTCACAAACTGTTATGTTTCCAATTTAGTTAATTACATTATATTATGCATGAAAACAACAGTTTTCATGCTGAGAAATAAGCTGAGGGCTAAATATACGTAGATTTGAAAGATGCTATGGTATAGCATAAAGGTCACTAAATTAAGCAGATCTAGACTCCTAGCTCAGGCTTGTCATTAATTTGCTAGACAGTTGGACAAGTCACTTGAGCTCTTAACCTGTTTCTTCATCTGTCTGTAAGTTTCACAGGGTTGTTCTAAGAATCAAATGACGAAACAGATAAAAGAACTTTAAAAAGTATAAAGGGCTCTACAAGTACAAAGTTTACTTATATCTCTGGAAACTTGCTTTGAAAACTGTTTAAAACCACACTATATCAGTAACTTCTATCTACACAGTATGCTTGCTCTCCACAGAAGGTCCATCACTGTGATTCAACAACTACCCGCCATGAGTTGAAAAGCATGCAGTCTTTAACTGTGCACCTACTGCTCCAGTCAGCATGTCATACATTAATGCCCCCAAACTCCACCAGTCCACAGCACGATTATGGCCACTTCTCATCAAGATTTCAGGAGCCCTACAATGAAAAGAAGAATCCACCTAAAAACACTTGATAGGACATTCTTCAAGTTAATTAGCATTTTTTTAAAAAACTGTATTTGACATAAATAATTCCACTAAGTAAATATTGTGAACTATTACTTAAAGCAGGAAAAATTTAGCTGTTACCCCCAGACCAGAGTTATATTGCTTTTAACATGCAGCTCACATGTATTCTATTGTTCCACAGAACGTGTGTGTGACTGTTCCATCATGAATGGATTCTTTGCATAGTCCAAAGTCCGTCAATTTCACATGACCTGAAATGAAAGATGATAGCAGGGTTATTCTGAGAACTGTAAGTATGTGTAAAACAGAAATAATCTCTTTAGATGACCCCTATGTTTAACTTTTTCTTATCCAAACTGTTTCTAAGCATCCAGTAAAAAGCAGGTATTATGAATTTAATTCAATCTTACATATACTCATAAAACTGGAATGTCAAAATATGAGACAGGCAAGCAGCCATTTTCTGCTACCAAGGTGGAATCAGGGAATAATAGGTCAGGAAGGAGTAGATATCCATGCATGACTCCCATTATGAACTCACCTAGAGTATCATCCATTGAAGGTACCATCCTAGGTTGAAGATACTTCTTGTTAATTGGTTAAGAGTCTAGGGATCTAGTTTACATATAAAGATTGATGCAGATTTCCAGCCTTTTTTATACAGAAATGCAGTAATATACAAATAACGTATAGTTGAATGACAAAGAATTGTGACTTAAAAGCTTATGAAGGCATTACTTATGGCAACAAATAGACTTAGCTTATCTTGTCATCTGCCCATCAGTGGAGATAAATGAAGCTGCTGTGGAGTGCTAACAGACTCTCAGAAACAGAAAAACATATCTCACACTAAAGGGCACTTTCATCTTAGGCTTTCCTTTACTTACATCATCACATATAAGCTATTCTAGCTGCCTTCCTATTCCTCAGACATGACTGGGCAAAAAACAGGAAAGAGGTACTAGGCCTCCTGATCTCTGAGTGTGAATTCACCATATACTCCAAGTAAGAGAAATGACATACCTTATCAATATGATGTGGGGATTAACATCAAAAGGAGATTAGCCTAACTGGTTATTCTAATGTTGTCATTTGCCTCAGAATTCAGAACCATGGCTTAAATACAGACACACACACACACACACACACACACACAGAAGTAAAACAGGAACCAAAATACAAATAGGCAATAGATCCCATGCCCAACAGACATAGTGAAGAAATCCACAGAACATTTCAAGTGTTTGAAAAACAAATGTCATTATAGAAAGGCACATGGTTCATCCTTAATGACGATACTGGCCTTTAGTATCCAAGGAGTGATTTTCCTGCATTTCCTGTTCAGCTAACTAACATGTGAGTTATGGATCCTTCAGGATACCCAGTTTCCACAGGTACGTAATAATAGCAACTACAGATTTGGTGTCCCATCCCTCCCTCTCCATCCCCCATTCCTGTGTGAAAAGTCAATCTAGCGTATTCATCCTAGAGTTTCTCTTCAGTAACATAGCTCTGGAGGGACTACTCATAAAGCTGAAAAACAACAACAATCTTGCACATGAAATAGAGAAGGAAAGGAAGGATCCTTTTAAAAATACAGACATTGCCAGAAATCAGGGTGACAACAGATATGAAGTTTTAGATATAAATAAAGGTGCTCGTGACTAATGTTTAGGAATTGGATTCTGATTTTCAAATGTTAGGTTTCTGAAGTGATTTTTTAAAAAAATCAAACACAGTCCAAAATATAAGGGTCAGCCAGTATGAATTTAATGAACATACAGGAAAATGTAATATATAAGAAAGCCTCATTAGGTCAGGTACGTTGTGGGTGAAGGATTCTTGTTCAGGTAAAGGTTGGACTGGTCCCCTCTGAAGTCATTCTGGAGTCATCTGTCTGCAACAGCACATGGCTGCCCTTATCTTGACTTTGGCAAGCAAAAGAGTGGGAAACCTGACGAATGCCACTGAAATTTTTTTTCCAGAGCTATAATAAATTTTCTGTTTGATTCAAATTTCTGTTCCAAGCAACAATGGTTCGAACAATTCATGGTAGAAAGTAAAACTATCAGTACTTATTAAAGTTCATTTCAACTCATCAAATAAGGTCCCAATTTATATAGGACTTTTCTTTTAAACTAGAACTCTGTTCTAGTTTAAAAGAAAAAAGGGGGCAGCTAGGTGATGCAGTGCGTACAGCACCAGCTCTGGAGTCTGAAGGACCTGAGTTCAAATTCGGCCTACAACACTTACTAGCTGTGTGATGCTTGGCAAGTCACTTAAACCAAAATGCCTCAAAAAAAAAATTAACCTTTGGGTTTGATTTTTGGTTCCCTACTCACAGTACTGCTATGTATTAAGAATCTTCATCTGATGGAGAGATGAAATAAAGGCAAGGGAAATGATGATATTTCTTTAAGTGTCATTAAAGGAAATCACTGCCCTGACTAGGAATGTTGAACTCTCTCGTTCTCATCAACCAAAAGGTAACTAAATAGTTAAATGCCAGGAAGTATCTTGGTGCTTTGAAATTTGGAGAGAAGAATTTTAGTGCAATGAATGTGGGGACTTTAAAAATGCTGTGGCCTACAGAGAGGATTTTAAGATGATTATTTACTATAGAATTGTTTACTGTTATCTCCACCTTGGTGATTAAGCATGATATTTTCCGGCTTCAGGTCTCTGTAGATGATCCCTTTTTGATGTAAATGCCCCAAAGCCATGGAGATTTCTGCCAAGTAAAAGCTGGAACAAAAGTGATTTGACATAATTAAAAATACTAGACAGTCCAAAATCAACTCATATACTGAAAACAGTTAAGTATGAAACAACAATTCCTTAAAAGAAACATGAGACATACAGGAGAATAAATTATTAGAGAAAATACAAAAATAGCCTAGGTTTTTGGGATTTTTTTGCTAAAGGGTGTAACAAAACTATCAAGTGTTAACTTGCTTTAGGTTACCACTACCATTACAATTTCAAAAAAGTCTCCAGCAGTCCAACCTGTCTGTCACTGGTCAAGATTTGTTTTGCTTGTAATAAACATCCAACTGAAAGCAAATTCCCTGTACCCATTTATACCTTAAAAAAAAAATCTCCTAAAGAGTTTTGTTTATCTCACAAATCAAATGTCCTAGTTTGAAGAAGCCCTTTTTACCTGCTCTCTCCTGCTCATCCTTTGGAGCCAGCCCACAACCTATACACTGGATAATACTCAAATTCATCCACCTCCATAGGATAAAGGACTGAGTAAACCCTCTCTGGATTGGAAAAACACAAGACACTTGACTGGCTGCAGCATAATGCTGTTAATCCTGCAGGGTAGGTCTTGGAAGACTGAGGCAATTTAATAGCCTCCAAGACCACCAACAGATTCTAACTTGGAGAGTTCATGTATGGAATTTCATCCCTAAGGCTCTTAAGTGCAGCTATTAGAAAAAGCCTGAAATTAAATAATGGAATGTAGTTTGGTAATTAGGTTTATACATTTAAGTTTTGTTTCTTCAATTAATACATAGGATAAACAATCACTATCACCTAACATGGTAACTTTGTTAGAGGACGTGCAACTTTTCAATGTGCAATATAGTATTAAGACCTACTTTACCCAAATAGCAGTTTGATACCTCCTCCTGGTGTGGAGGGGACCATAGGCTCTCAAAGGCACAAGGTGCTGGAAAGGCTTCAAATATGGCTGTAATGATAGACTGTTTCATCTGAGGACAAGCCAGCTAAATTCAAAGGCTCACTTTCAGAAAGCTGGTCACTAGGTAACGCTTTTTTCAGCCACAGCAACTCATACATACAGTTTGTTAAAGTCTGTGTGGCTGGAGGCAGTACCAAGGCAGATGAAACACACACCACAGCCCCCCCCAACTCTCTCTCTCTCTCTCTCTCTCTCTCTCTCTCTCTCTCTCTCTCTCTCTCTCTCTCTCTCACACACACACACACACACACACACACACACACTCTCTCTCTCTCTCTCTCTCTCTCTCTCTCTCTCGAGAAAGAGAGAGAGAGAGACAGCACCTATACTGACCCAGGAATGAGGGTGGTGACTCACCAGCTCAGATAAAGAAAGCCCCAGCAAGAATGAAGTACAGGGGTGAGAAGCCTCCTACCCAGGGTGTGGGATACAGGTAAAGAAATAGTGAGATCTTCAAAAGCAACGTAGCTTCAAAGTTACTAGTAAAGATTTCATATATGAAGAACCTCTGCACATTTGGCAGTCCATAGGGAGAATGGGATCCTATTTTTTAATTTTATGAATTATCTAAAACTACGAAGACACCAAAACGGCACTTACCAAGCTGTATCTTCCATAAATATTCCCTCTCTTTCTAACTGCATAAATAATTCTCCTCCTGTGGAAGGATGAAAAGGACATTAGAAATAATCTCCATTTCTGGCCTCTCTTTTTAAACTCATTATTCTTGTTTATATGATAATAAAGATATTGGTTTAAAAACTATAATGAAGATCTGACCTGAAATCCTAGTTTTTATATTTACAAACTATATATTTGTGAAGATTTCAGATAAAATAAAACCTTATATTTAAGCCTCAGTAATTTATCCATAAGAGGAGATGTGCTAATTAAACCAGCCATACCAATTACTAAATGCCTACACCTTCTGGGCCCATATAAAAAAAATCTCCCACAGAAACCAACCCACAGGCTAGGCCTAAAGGAAACCTGGTAGGGACCCTCCAGAAATAAACAAATAAATGTATGGAAAAAGGCAAACAAATTTTTGCCTGGGGAAGAATGGTACTTGAAGTAAATGTCCCACAGCAAACAGCAGGTATCAGGTTGCCATACTCCAATCACTCAATTTATCTCACTTCTCAACCCCTTACAATCTGGCTTCCAACCTCAGCACTCCACTGAAACTGCTCTCTCCAAAGTTAGCAATTATCTCTCAGTTGCCAAATATCTGCCAGCCTTTTCAACACCCTCAGCCTTCTGGGCTTCTCTGAAGCTTATGTCACTGTCATCCATGTTCTACCTCCTAGACACTTTACCCTCTCCGGGTTTTAGTGACACTATTCTCTCTATTTTCTTCTTACCACTCCTCTCTATCTCCTTTGCTAGATCATTATTCATAGTTCACCATCTGACTGAGAGTATACTCCAAGGGTCTATTCTGGACATATCCAAAATTGAATCCATTATCTTTTTGCCTCTTTCTCCTTCTTCAAACCCACTCCTTTTCTCAACTTTTTGATTTCTGCTTCCTTCTGGGCATCGAGGTTCATAACCTTGGATCTGACCTTTAACTCCTTACCCCTCCCCCACATCCAATCAGCAGCCAAGTCTTAACAATTCAACCTCCATTCTTTCTCCTCCTATGGTCACCACCCTAGTTCAGACCTCACCACTTCTGGCCTAAACTATTCCAACTGTGCCCTAATTTGTCTCAGCATCTCTGGTCTCCCCCTTTTACAATCCATCCTCCAGGGCTGCCAAAATGATGTTCCTAAAGCATAGGTATGACTATGTCACTCAAACTCTAGAAGCTCTCTATTACCTCTAGTAGCAAATATAAAGTTCTCTGTTTAGTATTTAAAGCCCTTCACCCCCTGGTTCTTTTCTGCCTTATCAATACATTACCTTTTTGACCTTACTTTGCTCCTCTTCACACACTCCACATTCCAGCCAAACTGACCTTCTTGCTGTACCTCATATACGGCATTCCATCAGCTGTCTCTGGGTCTCTGCCCAGGCCATCCCTCATGCCTGAATGATCTACTTCCTCACCTGATTTTTCTTGGAATCCCTAGCCTAGTTCCTTTCAAAGCTCAACTCAAACTTTACCTTCCACTTTATGCCCTTCCCGATTCCTCCAGCTGCAACAGAACTTCCTCAACAAATCACCTTGTATCTCTCTGATATACATTTATATGTGTGCCTATGTTATCTTTCCTGATACAATGTAAGCACTGAAGGAAAGGGTTGTTTCATTTTGGTATCAGTATCTCCAGAACCTGCCCATTTTCCTTTTTTTTTTTTAAACTGATTTGTGCTTTCACTGGTAAGAAGCGCTTCTGATGAGGAAACTCCAGCAACCAATACAGATGGCAAGACTCTGAGAGTGGCCCAGGGCACTGAGAGGTCACAAGCCCCAGACAAGACTCCAAAGCCAGCTCCCTATCCACTACAACATCTTGCAGCCTCACTATGTATGCTTGGCACATCACAGGTGCTGCATGAACACTTGCTGGCAGAACCAATTACAAATATACTGATTGTCATACTGACTCCCACCAATACTTCAATGCTCTCTAAAAATCCTGGACTATAAAGGATTAACTATTTTATTTGTATCAAAGTATCTCAAGTCTCAACATGTAAATAAGGTTAAATTTTTATTATTACTCCACTGTATAAGTGACTACTATGAGAGAAGAAAAACACTTAAGATAAAAAGGTTGAAGTTGAAATTTATTTAGCCTTTAAATTTTCCTTTGAATATGGCTCAAAGTAACAACTCTCAATCAATTCTAACTACTTCTGTCAATGTGTCATTTCATTCACAATTTTAAATGCTAGTTATGGACAAGATTTACACTGAATGTAAAGTTCAACAAGGTACTGTCCTCTACCCTTCTCCTGATAATCCTCAACTCTGGGTCACCCCTACCTCCTATCTTCTCTGCTCTGACTCAGAAGCCAAGCTGTTGGAGGAATCCACAAATTGGGGTAACTGGCTACACTACTTTCACTCTATCTAATCTGAACTAGGCCCTCACTGCAAAATGACAAGCCCTTCTATTTGTCTTTCATAACATCTCTACCCCATTCCTCACACTGGCTTTTCTTTAAACTCCCAATTTAGCCCCCACTGTTAGTGGATGACCTTTTCTCCTATGTCGCAAAGACTGGACCAGTGGCTGCTACCCAAACTTGACATACCATCTCCTTCCTCTGTATCCTGATACAGATTGTCTGACATGCATATAATGCATTTTCTTTTCCCCTCTACCTGTCAATTCTCTCTTGCTTTAAAGCTGAGGTTAGGTGCCATATCCTTGGTGAATCTCCCAGCTGAAACTGATTTTTCTCTCTTCCACACTTCCCAAAGCACTGTGTCTAAGTCTCTCTTGTGCCCCTAACAGATTCTTATATTATCCATAACTGTGTACTTGTCATATAATTTCTGGTGGACTAAATTTAAGGCCAGCACCTGTGTCATTTTTACACTCCCAACCCCTCCTCTCCCCCCAGCTAGAATGATCCAGGGAAGTGGTAGTAGCTTCAGGCACAACTGGAGGTGTCAACTGAATAAAAATGAGGGGGCAGTGGAAACATAAGGAAAGAAGAAAATTTTGAAAACCGTTCATATATGTTTCATCTGCTGTGTAACAGAGTTAAAGTCGTAGTGATTACATTATTTTCCAAATAAACACAAAATGCAAGTTATAACAGATCAGTGATCAAGTCGCCAACAGATCTTAACCTACAAGTGTTGGCAGGTGAGTGTGTGGAAGTCCAGCATGCATCGGCAGGAATGTGTGCATGTAACGACTTGTTTACAATACGACACTACACAGTTACATGAGACAATCTTCAAAATTTCAATGTAGGAAAAAACCCCAAATTTACAATAAATTATTAAATTTAAGATGCGTCATTTTAAAAAAAAAATTTATATTTTTTTGAAATGAGACAAATTTTTTTAAAAAACCCTGTTAAAGAGTTAAAGAAAGTAGATTTCCAGGGAGGTGCTGAGAAATTTTTTTTTTAAAGGGGGCAGTAGGCCAAATAAGTTTGGGAACCTCTACTCCCAACCCTTATCACAGTACCTTATATACAGCAGATACCTAATAAGTACTGGCTAAGCTGGAAAAGCATATTTTATATAAATTATAACTTTTGCTTAACTATACTACTAGGACAACAATATTACTTTCTGTATAACATTTCTGACCCAGTTTCTAGAACAATTAGGAATAAGGGAATACAGCAGTGCATACTGACCACTGAGATACTCCAGGATGAGGTAGAGTTTTCCACCAGTCTGAAAGGCATAAATTAAGTCCACAATGAAGGGATGCTTTACTTCCTCAAGGATATTTCGTTCTGCTTTTGTATGAGCTGTATCTTTCGCATTTCTTACTATCATAGCCTAAAAGAAGAAAGATGACATGACAGAACGGTCTAAGCATTTGTAGCAGACATAATTGTGTTCTACACACTTAATGGAAAATCCATTCTGTACTGTTTTTTAATATTATTCAAATCAGCAAATACTGAAGGAGTGAACAATTTTTCACCACTCTCCACACATAGTATGGCCAGGACAGTTAGTTAATTTGTTACCAGGGATGTACTTTGGGATCGGTGACCCATGATGTTACCTAGGCTGCCCAAACTGGCATTGTGAGGAGGACTTGCTACTGGTACTGACATCTTATTTCCACCAAGTGCATTTTTTTTGTCATCCTCAAACCTGGCTCTGTGATTGCAAATGGTTATCGAGTCTATAGCCTACCCTACTTCCAAAACTTCTCAGAATGGCCCTCAGAAATGACAAAAAACACATCTAGCTCAGGGAATAATTTTGACCAATATTTGTTTAAAAGCCTCTAATTCTAAAACAGTGATTCAAGTACTAAAGCCTGAACTCCTCCTGAGACATTTCCTGGACAAGTATTAAATTTTCTGTTCTATTTCAAAATTCAATATATTTGATAAGTTTGTTAGTTCTCCAAAGGTTACAAAGGAAAGGTCAGATGGAAAATATTAGCCCTATTTTATCGACAGTAATTAAGGTTCGGAAACCTTAGGTAAGATCTAAAATCAACAGTAAGCTTAGAATCTATGTTTTTCAGTTTTCAGCCCAACGAGCTACTCATATAGGAATTGGCAAGCTCCAGCTAGCCAATAGAAAAGTCCACATCTGTTCTGGCAAGAACATTCAATTTGAGAAGAGACAAAGGTACTTTCTGACATGTTCTACCTCACTGACTGCTTATAGCCTTGTTGGGGACCCACAAAGGGCCCCCATCTCTATACATGAGGCAGTCCCTACCTTTCCAATCTTATTTTACATGATTGTCTTCATATGCTCTGCATTACAGCCAAACTGGAACTACTGGCTGCTTCTCAAACTTGAAATGTCCACTGACTCCACTTTCACATGGACTGTCTCCTATGGTTAGAATGTACTCCCTCTCCCAAATCCTCATTTTCCTTCAAAGATTAAATTAGTTTTCCTTCTTTTACAGAGCCTTCTCTGTTTGTCTCCTTTCCACTCCCTTCCTCCCAACCCTGCTGAAAATATTCAAGTGATCTTTCCTTCCTCACATAATCCTAAAATACTTTGGACCCCTCCCTTTGCCCACCTCACTCGATACCTTGCATTCTGCTTATTCTTGTATATGTCTCATTCCTTACTCCACTGCCAACAGGGAGATGGAAAAACTGAATGACACATACAAGAAATTTAAAGCTCCTTGAAAATAAGTACTATGTCACTTTTATCTTTGCGTTTTCAGGTCCAAGTCCTTGTCTAGCAGGCACTCAATGCTGAAGCTGTTAAAGAGGCTAAGGGCCAGACTGTCAGAAACATCTAAATAATCAGTTTGCTTCTTTGGGGGAACCCCCACCATCACCCCATCCTCCAAAAGCACGCTCAAAGAAGTTAATAAAGATAGGGGAAAAGGTTATATGGAAAGTAAAGAGTAGTTACCTTTTTAAGCACCTTCATCGCAAATATTTTCCCAGTAGTTGCTCCTGTTACTTTTCGTACTTGGAAAACCTGGGTAACAAAAGTTAAAACATAACAGATGACCATGAAAAACGAAAAGTTGTCAAACTTTTATACTACCCAATCAAGCCATAAGCTTTGATAGCTGGAAAATGCACTAAGATGTTTGGGATAGCTTGGATAATAAGAGGCAGGAAAGCAGGCCCAAGTTCAGGACTGAGTGACAGTGTTATACATAGCACTTGGCAGCTTTCCTATTTTGATCCGTTGCCAGTGGGGTTTCAAATACACAGTGTTCCTTTACTACACAAAATTGAAAAATTTGCTTAGAACAAATTACAGGGAAAGCTCAAAGAGAAATTTACACAAAACCAAAAAGTCTGCTAATGTTTCAGAAATTTCTTCCAGGAATGATTAGAACAGTGTTTCACTGTTTTTGCTTCACAGTTCAGCAATGTGGGAGTCAGTAAGATTTCAGTATTGTTAATTTACACCCTACTATAGCAGACATGGATAGTGATAGGAAATAAGACCTGTGATTTCATTGATACAGGGAACTCCCAGGTGAGGAAATTCCTTTTTACCAATGCAACTCGTAGAGAAAAGCCTAGAATACTGAGAGGTAAAGTGACTTCCCTAGAAATATGTGTCAGAGGCAAGCAGGACTGAAGTCTTCCTGACTCTGAGGCTGGCCCTCTATAAAAACCATGGTTAAATAATTTTCAAGCAATAGCTAAAGTAATCAGATATTCAAAATTTGAGTGTTCAAGATATTTTAGTGTTCACTTATTGCCCTCAATTCTAAGAATAATCTATAAATGTTATGTTTCATAAAAATTAATTACATACTACCGTACAATACCATATTGAAAAAAGTGACACTCTTCCAAGGTACATTACTGTCCAGATCTTGCCTTCTGACATACAGAGAACATGTTTACCCCAACCAAATTTTCAAAGATCTGATAAAAGGGACAATCCTGGCTATTTGAAATAGGCAAAATTTATCTCCAGTACCACCCCTCTACACACTTTCCTACTGCCCCAGGCACTTACTGTCTTTTGTTGTCCTAGAGCCCCACCTCAATTAGTATCTGATAGCCATTTAGAATAATACCCTTTCCCAAGAATATATATGCATTTTAAAAGAAGATGACCTACTTAACTGAAGAATACACATCTAAGAATTTCCCATATGGTTAACAGCAAGGTGATGGTAGCTAGAAGAATACTCAGGTCACTCCTCAAATAGCAGGGGCTACCTACTATTAAAGGCTACTCCTTGGACCAACAGTTTAGACTAAGTTATCCACTTCAGTGAGAAGACAGTTCTTATTTGGGATATGGTAACTTTGAAAAAGTTTTTCCTACCTTTCCATAGCCCCCTTTACCAAGTACTCGAAGTAGCTCAAAACATTCTGGTCTTATTTTTTCTGGCCCTTTGTTCACACTAGTTTCTGAGATTTCAAATTTTTCACAATGTTCCATGCCACTGGGGAGAAAAGCAAAACCAAAAGTCAACTGGCAAAAATTTATATTTTCTTCATCATGTTCTCAGAAAGAAAAAGAGAAATGTAATCCTGTTAAGTAAAAACAAAAATGCATATTAGGCAATTTAGTATCCGTACTCTGAGGAAAACCACAGGGGCAAATATATGGCAGCGCAGACTAAAATGCTCTGACACTGACAATCTGAATTACATTTCTTTTATAAACAACATATACCTTAAACATGTAAGCAAGCAAGCAGAAAAAGATTTATCAACTATCTGACATAAAAGAAAAATTTACTTTCATAATTTGAAATATTATGTAAGACAAAGTTTGGACTTTATGGTCATCTGGAAATCTGAGCAATATTCTAAGAGTTGTCTAAAAATATCCAACCAAAAACTATTTAGAACTATGCCCCCAAAATAACTCAACTGTGCATACCCTTTGGCCTAGCAATACTACTACCAAGGCTATAACCTAAAAGATCAAAGAAAGAAGGAAAGGATCCATATGTATGAGAATATTTAAGGCATATGAAAGAAGTAGAATATTACAGTGCTACAAAAAAATATTGAAGGGGACAGTTTCAGAAAAAACTATATGAACTGAAGTGAGTGAAGTAAACAGAACCAGAACAATTTATACAATAATATAACAATAACACTGTAAAGAAAAACAATTTTGAAAGACTTAAAAAAAAGCTGATCAATGAAATGAACAACTCTAACTCTAAAGGACTGATGAAAAGGCATGTTCTTTACTTCCTGACAGAGTGGTTATAAATAAGATGTACATCTGTGGACACAGCCAACATGTTTTACTTGTCTACACATATTTGTATCAAGGGTCTGGTTTTTCTTTTTTTCTTTTTAAAGGAATAGGGTTCCTGTCCCCCTCCCCCCTCAAAAAAAACCACAGAAATAATCACAGATGAACAGCACAGCTTTGAAAGGTACACACTGAATTTATCATATACTTAAAAAGAAAAGCAAGAAATGCTGGAGATCCACAGCTTCACATAGAATACTCTTCTTTCTGTTCTGCAATGTATATGGAAATGCTCGTTTTTATTTGGTTTAGGTTCAGAATAAAAATAAATGAAAACCATCCAATCACTTCTACTGTTGTAGGTAGGTAGGTTTTTTTTAAACAGTTAAATCTATTTACTCATCCTTCCACATTTGCTGTTAGTCTGAAATAAGCACCAAAAAAGGCATCAATTTTGGCTAGTGATCTAAATTAACTCTTTACAACTATTACGCTTGTATTACTGTGTATATTCTTAGTTTCAAGGGAAAATCAACTACCCAACTATTAACATGTTCACCCTAGTCTAACTAAATAGTAACATGACATTATATATATTTTAGTATAAGGATAACGCTCATAATGTACAACAAAAAGTACTTGACTTTTCTATGTAACTTACATGACTTTAAAAAAATTAAACTATGGATGAACACCTCCTAAAGTCATCTAATACAGTACTATGCCATGGAGCTGCCCCGAGTTGCCCTATGTTATCAAGGGGTATGCCAATAAATTTCAAGCTTCTCCCTATCAGGCTTGTAAAAACTTAAGCACACAGGTCTGGTGACAGACTGTATGTCTATTATCTGAGTATAGCTAAGTCAGAGAGACTTATCAGGCTGACTCCTGACTGACACAATTTTCAGCCACAGGAACTTTCAAAGACCATCCACTAAGCTGCAGAGGCTGTGGTCACAGTGTTAAGGGAGTAATACCCACATCAATTAAGTTGACGCTTGATATCCTAACACACAGGATATTCAAAACTGTTCACTTAAAACAATAAAATTCTTGAAGGACACAATATTTAGCAGACTCAGAGCAGTCAATATTATGATATAGTATAACATAATACAATACAATTCAAAAGTTGTATCAATATTATCATCAGATTTAGCTTTTAAATTGAATAAGCAGTCTACAAATATCATCAGACATCTGAGACTGATTGGAATCATGTTACTAATGCTTGTAAAGAGTTAATTGCCTATAAAAGTTGGTACTCTATTAGCAGAATTTTTTAGAACAAACTTACATTTCATATGGTCCAACTCCCCCATGGTCCATGCTTTCACTTAATTGACCCTGAAAAAAAAATGATTAAATTTTTTAAAAAACACCAGGGCTATAAAATAATTTCTGGGCAAGCATTTAAAAGAACTGAAATTCTCTGTAGTTTTTTAGTAGTTGAACATGATAATTTGTAAAAACATTCAGGAAATAATTTGGTGGGCAACAAAATGCTTTTCACAGAAAACTAACTAAACAATCAGAATTCCACAAGTACTACTGTGGAGAGTCTATTTTTTTTTAAACAGTTGATAGCTGTTGAGACTGTTCATCAGTAACTAGTAAAAAAATTTTTCAGAAATTGCATGAAATTGTGTTTCCCACCTGCCCAAAAAAACCACCTATTCTTTGCATTTTTGAAACTGAAGCTACTATATTCCAAACACAAAATACTGAATTGATATAATGTGTGTATTTTTCCTCTGTGAAACTGACTCTCCTATAGCAAGCTAAAATAAGCACAATCAGTTTGAGATATGGTAATTAGCAATGTTTTTTATTCTGATTAGGGCAAAATTTAAAAATTGTTGCAAGAAGACCAAATGGCTAAAGGTTCTGGGGCTAAATATTCCATTTCAAACCTGATAATAATGGGTCACAAAATTACTTGGTGATAGGTGTTAGCAGAATTAGTACTATCAGGAAAGGCAAAATTGCCTAAAGACAATTAGGAATTTGACAGATTTTTAACACACTCCACTTGATTATAAATCTGAAATCATGTTTGAACGGTATAATACTAATTATAATCCATGATAGTTCTTAAACAATCAGGAGCACAACAAGAAAATATAAAAGACAGTCAACTGACCATACTTATTTTGCTTTCAAAGCAGGACAGCCAATTTAGGCAAAAAAATACTGTCACATCTTTCTGAAAGATCAATTACCAGGAAAACAAATGCTATACAACTACTTACTTTGGCCAAGAAACTAGTGTGAACAGGCCAGAATTATGGTCTTCCTCAGGGTCACCTCTTCTGAGTAAAGCAAAGGCATATCAGTGGGGGCAATATAAGAAACTCACACTCTTTCTACTTACACATTTTTTCTTCCTTGGTTTGAAGACTTTTTAATCTCCACAACTATGAGTAAATCACCTATTGTGACGTAGTTGCTTTTAAGACAAAAGACTCTGACCATCTTTCAGAAGTAATGCAGCTGGTATTACATAATTCTGCTCTTCTCTGATGTTACTTTTATTCAGTTCTAAATTGAAGACCACAAAGTAGTTAACAAAGAACCATAGCTTTGAAGCCAACTCTCCACTCAAGATATGCCCTATGGCTGTGTTTCATTTCCTGAGCTAGATGGGTCCATATTACCACCTGCAGCTGCATATGGGCTTAAAACTTTCTACCTTTATATAGGGACAGAAACATTTAAAACAAGTCATCCATTCCTAGCATCCATCAGTACCCCAGCACACTGGAAGCTTCAAAATCAGAGGAAGACTTTCTAAATCAGCATTATAGCCTACACAGGCAATTTTCTTTTATATGAACTTCTTTATCTATACTTCTGTATTGTAAGGTTTTTCTTTCTTCTTTCCCATTAAAAAAAAAAAGTATGCTATCAGGAAGTGGCACAATCTCCGAACCTTAAATCAGGAGACCTAATTTTAAATCCTGGCTGCAACACTAATAGAAATAACAATACTTGCACTGTAAATCTCACATGGGTGTTGTAAGGAGAGCACCTGTAAATTCTAGAAGTACTACAAAAATGTGAGTTATTACTGTGATCCTCATCATTATACTTACTATCTCTTACTCTTCCTGTGTTTTACAAAAACAGCTGTATTGTTGGAATTCCCTTTTCCTGTCTGACAAAACCTAAATTTATCTCCCAAGCACCACACAAAATACACTGTTTCAAGCTGGCTTAGCACAATGACTTCTGCTTGTGAAAGTTCTCATGTATAAAAAGAAACACAGACATATACACACTCTACAATGCCTGATGAAATTGAACATAATCATTAAAAAGTTAAACAATTCTGGAATGGCAGAAATTGTCATAAAAAAGAACACCCATTAAATCATTCTTTCCACTCAGATGCTTATTGTAGAGTTCCCTTTTTAAATGAAACCTTATTAAGTCAGAATTACCCAGGCAAAGAGGAAGAAAGTCAGTTCAACTTCATTGGAAACCTGAGAAAGTGTTTTTAAACAAATGTAGTTGTATAATTTTAAAATTCAGTCCATATTTATAAGCTAGGATATTACAAATTTGTATTAAAAGAATATAAATTAATGAGAAAGCAATTCCCAACATAATAACCCCATTACCAAACAATTATTGAGCACCAACCACTTTTCAAAGTGCATTAAAAGGCATCAAATGTGAAAATCCTTGATCACAGTAGTAATTCAATAAATTAAATCTCCTTTGAAGAAATCTCTTACATTTTCAAATCAAAGGCTCAGGAAATTAATTACTGATCTTAAAACTAGATTAACTAGATTACTCATGGAACTCTCAAGCTTCAGAGAAAGAAATTTTCAATTTTTTATTCAAAAAGAATCTTTCACAACAGTCCAAAGCCAGTATTCCGAACATATTACAAACTGCAAATCAGCATGTATCCATATTAACTGTAACTCATATTGATTTCTAGTGTCTTTTCTAGTTTTATGTTCCTATAGTAAATGGAAAAGTCCAATACTTTCAGAAACTTACAATCCTCTGACAGAGAACAGTCATTCACCAAAAATCCATTGGACTTCTTTTTTTTGTCTGGTTCCATGTGTTCATCATCTGTGTAGGGTGCTTCCCAAAGAAGAAATTACTTTGGCCAATGCAGAATTACTATTCTGAGGCACTGAAAGCTAAAATGACCAGGGTCCGTCTAAGGAAGGACTGGAACTCAGATGGTCCTGACTGAGGTTTTTTATCTGCCACAACACTGGGTCTCTCATTTATTAAAAGTCTAGGTTTCCTTTTAATAGGTACTGAATTTTATTTAATTTTAGGCAGCAAGATAGCATAGGGGATAGTGTTGGACTTGAGTTCAGCAACACCCAAATTTAAATTCAGACTTAAGACACTGTGTGACTCAAGACAAAGTCATTTAAGCTCTCAGCTTCAGTTTCCTTATGTGTAAAATGAGGGTAAGAGCACCTATCTCATAGAGTTGTTGCGAGGATCCAATGAGACAACATGTATAAAGCACTTTATGTCTTAAATTTCAATGTACATGTTAGCTATTATTATTATTTATGAATGTATAGTCTATTTTATTTGTTCCTCTCTGAAAGATTCATTTGGTCTTCTAGGTATTGAAAAACTAATTAACAAGTACTTGTTGAAGTCTTTGTGCCCACACACTCAGAAAGGCTTGCCCCATTCTAAATGGGGTTATGTTGGCATCCCATAACCCAGCACTGCCAAAATAACTGCATTTACCAATAAATCACACTTCAGTAAAATGTAGAATGGAAAATGTTCCTTACAGATCCCAGAGTCCAACTCCCTCAGTGTTTAGATGAGGAAGTCAAGGACCAGAAAGGTACAGCATGTTGCCTAAAGTCAGATGGCTGAAGTGGCCGAGCATGTACACTTGAAACCAAAATCTCTTGATTTAGATCTGATGTTCTTTCCACTACATCATGCTGAGGGCAAACTAACCACTGGCGAACTGGCAATAACTGATGTAGTTCACAATGTAGTTCACCAATACAATTCCAAAGTAAGTTTTCTGATTGAGCACTTCTCCAAAACAAGAGGAATATATGGGTTTGAACAATAACATTTTTAAAAAGCCTATTTCACTAATATTAAAGGTATTCAAGAATAATTTCCTAGCTTTTGAACTTTTTCAAATCTTTTCAAGTGTAAAAGTCTGTTGTTCAATTATATCTGATTCTTCAGATACGTTTTTCAGTTCTAACCCACTCTCCATGACCCCATTTGAGGTTTTCTTGGCAAAGCTACTGGAATGGTTTACCATTTCCTTCTCCAGCTCATTTTACAAATGAGGAACTGAGACAAACAGGGTTAAGTGACTGGCCCAGGGTCACACAGCTAATGAGTATCTGAGGTCAGAACTGAACTGACTTCAAGGCTGGCACTCTTATCTACTGCACCCCAAGCTGTCCCCAGTGTAAAAGCCTAGCATTTAAAAAAGATGATGAACTTATAATTCTAAAATTGTCGATTCAACTAATAAAGTATGTCATATCAAAGAATACATAAACACTGAGAACGCAGGGTCAAAGTCCCTTTTTTGTTTCAAATAGTATTTAATATGCCATATAGTTTCAATAATATCAAAATCCAAGCACTAGGCTAATGTGAACATGGAATTAAGAGTTGAAAATCTTGCAACAAGCTACCCTCCCTACCGGACTACTTACTTTTCTAAAATACCTCTCAGGTTTAATTCACCTTGACAATTCAATAGACATTTACTTTTCACAGGAAGAAATTTCATTTATTTTAGAGACTGTATTATGTTACAAATAGAGAGCTGGCCTTGAAATCAACAAGACCCAAGTTCAAGTTCTGCTTCTGACTATACTGGCTATGAGACTCTGGGCAAATCAACAATGCTCTGGGCACCTCTGTTAAAACTTAATTGGCAGAGAAGGTACTAACCTGCATTATTAAGAGGGTGTTTCCTCACCTATACCAAGGAAATCATAGACCCAGTCCCTATGTTTAATCCATTACATTTATTTAGTACCTATGAGTAAAACAGGCTAGGGTACAAATTAAAATGAAACAGTCTCTACCCTCAAGAAGCCTATAAATCCAAGGTAGGACAGAGAATTAATAGCTGGAGGGTAGGAGAAAGTAGGGAGAGGAACTTCGTTAGAGTATTAAGGAGTGAAGGGCCTTCCTAGCACCAAGGCAGACTTATGCAAATTCACAGAAGCAGGAGAGCTCAGGGAACAGTGAGTAGCCTGAAGGGAAGCAGTTGTTGAAATAAGTATGAAAAGGCAATTTGAAGCTAAAGGGCTTTAAAAGCTCAGAGCTCGGAGTTGTGTTCTCTTCTAGAGGCAACAGGGAAATACTAGCTTTTTAAGCAGAGGAATTAACATGATCAGATCTGTGACTCAAGAAGAGTATTTTAACAACTCAGTGGAAGACAGACAGGAGAGGGTGGAATTTAAAAGTACTGACCGATTAAGAGACCATTATAATCCAAGAAAGGAATGATTCAGGTTGATCTAGGGTACAATCTGTGAGCAAAGAGAACAGAACTGATGGGAGGGAGAGATGTTATGAAGGTAAACTAATTGGATTTGGGGGAGGAGAGAGTCAAAGTTACAAAACTAGGAGCAGGGTGCTATCAAGAGAAATGAAGTTGGAAGAAGTGGTAGATTTAGAGGGTAAAGATGATAAGAAAAGCATTATTCGCTCCAGTTTTAACTTCCCTTCTTTAGGGTACTCAAAGTTCTTCATACAGAAAACATATGCTTATAAATATAGATGGTATGTACATACATATGGCATCTTTTAATCCTGATATTTGTCAGTTTGGTAACATGCAGATGTTACTATCGTTTGAGGGGATGAGGAAAGCATTGGGCAGTTAAATAACATCCTAATAACACAAGAAAAGTGTAGCTAAATTACTCAGTTCCCAGATTATTATTCTATTTGAATTTTCTTTTTTAAATTTAAAAGGAAAATGGGAAACAAAACAGAACTTTCAATATTCAGCTCATTAATATAAAGACCCATGATGATACCTCATCAGGATGTGGTGGTGATACTAGGTTCTAGAAGATGAAAGTCTTATCAAGCTGGAAAGGACTGAGTACAGGACCAGTAAAAAATGAGACAATATATGTAACGTGTTCACCAAACCTGAAAGTAATGTGTGTATGTGTCTGTTTGTGTGTGTGCATATATAAAAAATATATATTCAAACACACATATGTAACACATTAGCTATTAATTACTATTATTAATGAATGTTCTTATAGGAACAATTTAAGCTTGGAAAAATTCATCACCAAAATGCAGACCATAATGAATTATTTTGGCCTTATCAACTTACAAAACTATATGCTGAAATTGGCCTAGGAATCTTCCTAAACTCTGGGTTCCTCTCCTGTTTGCTAACACATACTAGATTAACCTCTGAGTCCCAAGAAACTCCAACTATACATTTCATATCTGCAGTAGCAGTAGGCATTTCCTCACGTGACTTCCCCTTCAGGTTGACGAGATTACAGATAAGAACAAAAACAAACAAAAACACCACATATTAAGACCTGAAGGGGATGCAACCTCTTCAGTTTCCTCTCAGGTGTTCCCTACACAGATGGTGAAATCACAGGCCAGGAGGAGAAAAAAAAGTGCATGTATTAAGATGTGAAGGCTGTGAAGGGATTACCATGGGGGGGTGTTACCCACAAGGGTGAAATCACAGATATTTTAAGTACTAAAATATATAAAATAGCAGAAATAAATGATTTTAGATTCACCAACTCTAAAAAACATCTTAAAAATTAATAAATAATCCTTAAATCCAATCTGGCCTGGAAAAAGAAATATTGCAAAAAGAACCATAAAAGATAGAAAGTATTTTTATCCATCTGTTTAAAGTAAGCTAGAAAGTATTCCTACCATATAGCAAGGTGGCCCTGGAACAATCACTTAATAAGTCCCAGATAGAGCAACTTATTTTGGGAAAGCCAAATCACAGCTGTCGGCATTGTTTTCTCCACTCCCAAATCTCATCAGAAAACTGCACAAACCTCACGTCTAGGGGGGAGGCGGGCGGTAAGGAAAGGATGGGGAAGAGGGGAATCACAGCTCACACTGTAAACAGCTTTTAAACACTCATACCTTAACCCTCACCACCAAACTCTGCAAGATGCAGATCACCCTCCCAGGTCGGCTGCTTCTGCAAAGCACAGCCCGCAGAACTTTTCAGCTGTCATCCCAACAGCTGAGCGAGCTCTCGGCAGGCGCCAAGTCGCCAGGGACAGCGCAAGGAACGGGGACCCCAGGCTGGGGAGCAGCTTGAGCTTTCCACGCCAAGCACCCCCTGCCCGTTTCTCCGCGGCTGCTCCCAAACCCGCTGCTCCAGGGTCACCCTGAAGCTCGCGCCACCCCTCTGCCCCCGCCGCTAAAGACCCGGGGTCAGGAGGGGGTGGCCGAGAGCTCCGTGCACCTGCGCCCGTCAGCAGCCACCACCACCTCGGGATTGGTCCTGCCGCGCCGCCCGACTCCGCAGCTGGGCCAGTCACTGCTCGGCCGCCCGGCCGCCCTCCCGCTCCGCTCGCCCTCGCCCGCACCCCAGCCTCTGGCTCTCGCCGCAGGCCAGGGCCCTGGAACTGGCCCGGCTCCCTAGGCCCGAGCCTACGCCCCGGCCCTGTCACCTCCGCCCGGCCCAGTCGGCCCAGCCCGGCCCGGCTCAGCCCCCCGACCCCGGGCCTCACCCCTTCCTCCAGCTCATCCTCAGAGCCTGCGTCCTCCGGCTGGTCCAGGTCGATGTCAAAAACTCCGGCCATGGCCTCAGCTTCCCCGTCTCTGAAGTCTGGCGCTGGGTAAAATCCGTCCCGCCGCCGCCGCCGCCTCATGGGCCCGGACCCGCTGCAGCCACTGCTGCTGCGGCCGCCATCACCAGCTGCCTGGTCTCAGTGCGACTGCGCTCAGGCCCTAGACTCACACAGCAAGTTCGGCCATTGCACATGCGCAGGACTACTCATGAAGCCGAAGTACGGGCAATGGGCAAATTTAGTTCTTGCCCAGGGACCGAAGTGGAGGTTTAGACATGCGCATAACGTCCCCTGAAGCCGAAGGTATAAACTTAAGCGTGCATCTTGCCACTAAAGTGTTTGATAAACGGCGGGCATGCGTAACGTTTCTGAAACTGATGAATTGATATCAGAACTTGCGCATAACTTTGGGCCAGCTGAGGAAAGGGTGGGAGAGCTGTCAGGAGAAGGGTTCAGAGAACGGAACATGCGCACTCATTCTTCTAAAACCTTGACTCCGTACAGCGAATATGCGCAGGAATAATGTTTCGGGAGGGATTAATTGGTAAAAGTGAGCATGCGTGACTGGAAAGCCGTTATTCTGGGGGTAGTGGCCTATGGCTTAGCTCGCCTCCGAGCCATCGGTGAGTTATGGGCCTAAGTCAGGACGGCCAGGCCCTTTCTCGTTCGCCGGACCCGTGGCCTTCGCCGCGGTGGCCTCGCTGGGAGTTCCAGGGGCCTCCCAGGTCCCCGCCCCCCCACTCCGGGCCTCACGGCTGTTGCCTTTCTCTGGTCTTGAACTCTTCGGTAGTGAAACGAAGTCCCTGCGACCCTTCCCCTCGGAGACGGAGACGAGTGCAAAGAAACCTGATTGCTGTTGTTTTTCAGGACTGTATTGACGTAGCCTGGGATAGTAAGCCTGGGAGCTGGAAGGGACCTCAGAGATCGGCGGCGGCAGGGCCAGCCTTCTGATTTCACCGGTGAGGAAACCGAGCCCCAGGCAAGGCTTGTCCAGGCCCCCGGGCAGTAAGAGCCGAGACTGGAAGGCTCCAGACTCCAAATCCAGCGATCTCGTTGATGGGATTTTCTTCCTCCGGGTATGCAGATTCCCATTCATCCATTCCAACCCATCCTTGTACGATTCCCATCTGCATCCTTTGACTGATACATTAATAAACCTGACATCCCCGTTGCCAGCATGCCCATGGAGAGCCCTACAGGGTGTCGTAGTGTAATCTGCCCGCCGTCTTGGTTTTTTGTTTTTGTTTTCGTTTTTTTTCTGGTCAAGTCAACGAGCATTTATTAAGGCACTATGCTAAGCGCTAAGGATACAAAGAAAAGCAAGACCCTGCTCCTTTAGATCAAAATGATTTTTGTCTAGATGATTCAATGTTGTCCCTAGTACACGGTAGGCACTTAAATGCAAACTGACCGACTGACACAGTTATTCTCTTTTCCCATGCTTTTGTCAGTGCCTTTCTTTCCTGTGAGACTACCCCAATTTTATACATATACATAAATATATATATACATATATATATGTATATATATACAGAGAGAGAGAGACAGTTTGTACATCAGACACTCCACAGCGCCTAGAGAACAGACTCTGGGTTTTTGCTTGTTTCTTTGTTTGCTTTGGTCCTTTTTTGTATCCCCACCTTTGCACAGTGCCTGGCTCAAAGTAGGCATCTGGTAAATGCTAGTTGACTGACAACTTTTCTTATAAGGTCTGGGCACCTAAGCTTGGAAAGATGGTGAAGCCCCATATATTCTCCCTCCAACTTTATGGTATTTTGCTGCTGGCAAAAACAAAGTCATTGCTTTGAGGAAAAATTGACAGAGAATCTGATGTTCCAGATAAAGGAAGGAAAGCTTGTCAAATTTTTTTTTGGTGCATCAATTCTTACTGATATTAACTTTTTGTTTTTCACTATATATATATATACATGTATGTATATATATGTATATGTATCAGCATGCTTAAAAGACTGTATTCTGAGAGCTTTTATGGAGAAGGAAATGTCAAAATTTGGCAGCTAGTTTGATGTGTGGTAGGTTAGAGTGAGGAGTCAAGGATGACACCAAGCTTGTAAAACTAAGTACCAGGAAGGGTGGTGGTGCCCTTGACAGTAAAAGGAAAGTTTGAAAGAAATGTGGGTTTATAGGAAAAGATAATGAGTTCTGTTTTGAACATGTTGAGTTTGTAAAACCTGTGGGACATTTAGTATAATATGTCCAATAAGCAATTGGTGATATGGGACCGAAGTTCAAGAAAAAGACTAGGGCAAGATATATAGATATGGGAATCATCTGCTTGGAATCTGGAACCATTGGAAACTGATGGGATCACCAAATAGGAGAGTATAGAGAGAAAGAGAACAGAGTCTTAAGGGAACCCCATTTAAGTGGGCATGGCATGGAAGAAGAGCCATTGAAGGAGACTGAAAAGTAGTGGTCTGACTGGTTGTGCCACAAAAACAAAACAAAAAAGTTATATTCTAAGGTGTGAAGAGGTTTCAGTCTCATCCATTACTCATACTGATGAAGGTACATCTGATCTTTTGATTTTCTTCAGTATTTCAAAAAGGAAAGGGCAACCATTAGACATCAGTTCCTAATCCAAGCAATCATCTAAACTGCCATGGTTATCACTGATGTTTAATTATTTATATCTTCCTATAAAACTAGAATGATTGAAATGTAGCTGGTCTCTTATAGATTGTGTGTATTTCTAGGTAGTTTGATTGCCAAATGTTTGACAGTTTTTGTTGTTACTGTAAATAAAATTTCTTTTTGTGATGTTTTCTTCATCTTTACTGTGGATATCTTGCAACTTTGGCAACCTAATTTGATGTCTTCATTAATTTTCTGGGTGAAACAGTTGGGTTTTCCAGACATGCTATCATGGTCATCTGCAAAAAAATCACTTGAAAATTGTTAGATCTCATTAATAATCAGAAAGATGCAAATTAAAAGAACTTTGGGTTACCAGTTCACGTTTATCAAAGAGGCAAAAAACAAAAACAGTGGCACAAATAAAATCAATGAAGACAGAATCAGAAGAGAAGCAGTAGAGTAGGAAAAATATCTACATCAGATATCACTGAAATTTGTTAAAAGGGTTTTGTTTTTCTTTTTGTAGGGAGGAGATAGGAAAGAGAGAAAATAAAATGCTTAATTGAAAAAGCAATTTTAAAAAACTTCAATCTCTCTCTCTCATTCACATACAAGCTTGCCATCCATAGTACACAGGGAACTGCCACAAAAACACCAGTAGTTACTGCCCAGTAATTAAGTGGGCCTACTTGTGGCTGCCTGAAGGCCTCAACCCCTAGACCATAACATAACACCTCCTTCTCTTGCTGTGAGACAGGCTTCCATACTACCAAAGATACAGTAATACCACCTGTCATGAGGCCTTAGAGTTGAGGGCCAACCTTGATCTTCTAACCACCTACCTTCACCAACAAATTTCTTTCCTTCTGCCTGTACTTTGCTTGCACTCATTTCCCAGTAACTGGCATACTCCTACTCCCTCATTACAGATATTAACCAGTGGATATATCTCAGTTATGAAAGGAAGATTTGGGTTTAAGTCCCATTTGTGAACCTGGGGAAGTCACTGAACCTTTCACTGCCCCAGGTAACTAATGCTGAAAGACTCTTAAGTTGCAGAACAGGTGTTGTTTGTATTGCTATAAGGAAATTTCCTTCTTGGGAGTTCCATATAGCAAAGAAAGCCCATTTGCAATGCAATACCATCCCATCTCATGAAGAGAAAATAACTTTTTTTAAACAGATAGAAGAAATTATTAGGTATAGAAATTCATTTTTTATTAATTTATTTTAATTTATCAATCACTTCCATAAGCTTTTGAATTTTAAATTTTTCTCCCCCTTCCTCCCCAAGACAATGCGCAATCTGACATAGGCTATACATATACATTCCTATTAAACATATGTTCACATTAGTGATGTTGTAAGGAATAATTAGAACCAATAGGAGGAACCACAAGAAGGAGAAAACAAAACAGAAGAAAAAATAGCAAAGAGTATGCTTCAATCTGCATTCACACTCCATAGTTCTTTCTTTGGATGTGGATAGCATTTTCCATCACGAGGCATTTGGAAGTGTCTTAGATCCTTGCATTGCTGAGAAGGGCTAAGTCTATCAACGTTAGTCATAGCACAACGTGGCTGTTACTGTGTACAACATTCTCCTGGTTCTGCTCATTTCACTCTTACATCAGTCCATAAAAGTCTTTCCACGTTTTTCTGAAGTCTACCTGTTCATCATTTCTTATAGCATAATAGTATTCCATTACATTCATATACCACAACTTGTTCAGCCATTCCCCAGTTGATGGGCATTCCCTCAATTTCCAATTCTTTGCCACCACAAAAAGAGCTGCTATAAATATTTTTGTACATGTAGGTCCTTTTCCCATTTTTATGATCTCTTTGAGATACAGCCCTAGAAGTGCTATTGCTGGGTCAAAGGATATGCATATTTTTATAGCCCTTTGGGCATAGTTCCCAATTGCTCTCCAGGATAGTTGGATCATTTCACAACTCTACCAGCAAAGGTTCCAATTTTCCCATATCTTCTCCAACATTTATCATTTTCCTGTTTTGTCATGTTTTCCAATCTGATGGGTATGATGTGGTACCTGAGAGTTGTTTTGATTCGCATTTCTCTAATCAATAGTGATTTGGAGCATTTTTTCACATGACTATAGAAGGCTTTAATTTCTTCATCTGAGAATTGCCTGTTCACCTCCTTTGGGATTTATCAATTGGGAAATGACTTGTATTCTTATAAATTTGACTTAATTCTCTATATCTTTTAGAAATGAGGTCCTTATCAGAGACACTGGTCATAAAAATTCTTTCCTAATTTTCTACTTTCCTTCTAATCTTGGTTGCATTGGTTTTGTGCAAAAACTTTTCAGTTTAATATAATCAAAATTATCCATTTTGCATTTCATAATGTTCCCTATCTCCTGTTTGGTCATGAATTCTTCTGTTTTCCATAAATCTGATAGGTGAACTATTCCTTGCTCTCCCAATTTGCTTATACTGTCAGCCTTTATATCTAAGTCATGAACCCCATTTGACTTTATTTTGGTATGTGGTGTGAGCTTTTGGTCTATGCCTAGTTTCTGCCATACTCTTTTCCAGTTTTCCCAGCAGTTTTTATCAAATAGTGAGTTCTTATCCCAGAAGCTGGGGTCTTTGGATTTATCAAATAGTAGATTACTATAGTCATTGACTACTGTTTTCTCGCATACTTAACGTATTTCAGTGATCCACCACTCTGTTTCTTAGCCAGTACCAAGTAGTTTGGATGATTGCTGCCTTATAATACAATTTAAGATCTGGAACAGCTAGGCCACCTTCGCCTGCATTTCTTTTCATTAGTTCCCTGATATTCTGGACCTTTTGTTATTCCAAATTAATCTTATTATTTTTTTCTAGCTCTATAAAATAATTTTTTGGTAGTTTGATTGGTATGGCACTGAATAAGTAAATTAGTTTAGGTAGAATTGTCATTTTTATTATATTAGCTCGGCCTACCCATGAACAACTGATGTTTTTCCATTTATTTAAATCAGGCTTTATTTGTATGGAAAGTGTTTTGTACAGAATTTCTTTTTTTTTCATAATCTTTTTTTTTTTTTGGCTAGTCAATGGGGTTAAGTGGCTTGCCCAGGGTCACACAGCTAGTAAGTGTTATGTGTCTGAGGCTGGATTTGAACTCAGGTCCTCCTGACTCCAGGGCCAGTGCTCTTTCCACTGTGCCACTTAGCTGCCCCCAGAATTTCATTTTTGATGCTGTTTTTAGTACCCTCTCAAAGATATCTAAGAACTTTGAAGTTGTTTTTCTCTTCAGCTGAGCCTGAATATTATTACTGTTATAGAATGTTGCTTAACATGGGGTTACTTTGTGATGTATGCATGTGTTTTTATTTGCCTTTGATGATAATCTGTAGTTATTTTAACAGACATGTGTTTCCTAATCTGCTTTATTCACTTTCTTTGTAGGAAAAGGCTTGGTTGCCATGTCAATAGTCACAGTTCAACTTGGTCAGTGTGGCAATCAGATTGGTTATGAAGTATTTGATACCATATGTAGAGACTTACATAATACCCAGGGATTCTGCTGTAAGAGGGAGAATGAGGTATATCAGGCATCTTGCAAAGAACATTTCTTTAATGAGGAAAAAAGTGGAGGTATGTCATTAAGCTAGTGATGAACACTGAGAACAACTCATTCTGTTTCTTTTTTTTTTCCTATTGCTAGATGTTGACCCTAGAATACCAATTATGGAAAATAAAAGTATTGCCTGTTTTAGCAAGAAGCACCCTAGGAAATGTCCAGAAATCTCTGTGTATCCAGTTTTATTTTTTCAAACACTCATTGCTTTGTATACAATGGATACTCAATAAATGTTGCAAAGGAAAATTAATTTAAAATTGGGAAATTCTATTTTAAAGTGAAACTATTAAATGTGCTTTTTGTTATGAATGTTGCTCTGTTTTGATATGGTAGAGCTATGGACCTATACTGATACTGTCTTGAAAGGGTGTAGTACTTCCTAATGTAGAAAGGTAGGGGATGATTATCCACTTCTCAGATACATATCCTGAAAATGTAATAGTAGTTGAGTTACTGTTTCCTAACTGAGGTCCAGAGTGGGTTCTATAAATTCTCACCCTTGTGTTTGATTGGCAGTGACACCTGGACTTGTAAACTAATTGCATTAAATTACTTACATACATTTGTTTAAACCAGGAAACCTACTGCTTACTTACTTTCTTTGGAGGACAGGGCCTGTATTTGTGTGCAAATACAAAGAATGGAACAGTCCAACATATTTTCAAGGAGATTAATTAAGTAGAAAATTATTGTTAAAATATTAAAAATCAGCAATAGGAATGCTAAACAATAATAATGTTGGTATCTTTGCTGCTTGCCTGGATTTCATACCAGAGTGACAGATACTCTCTTTTCTTTCTGATCAAGTAAATTTATACTCTCAATTAGCATGTAAGGGCCCTCCCAGCTCTCAATTTATGATCCTTTGTCAGGATAACTTTTTCCACATTTTGTTTTCCTCTTTACATTCTAGTTCCGATTGCCCGAGCATTGCTTATTGACATGGAGCCCAAAGTGATCAGTCAAACACTATTAAAGGCTGCCCATTCTGGTAGATGGAAGTATGGTCAACACTCACATTTCTGTCAAAAACAAGGTTCTGGAAATAATTGGGCATATGGGTAAGAATGATTTACTCAAATTTCACTTAAGTTACTGCAATATAGTTGAAGAGTCTAAAGAAACCATAAACTTGAAATTGTGGATCCAATCATTCAACAAACATTAAGTGCCTTAAATCAGACCTTGATGTTAGACATAGGTGGTGACAGTCCTACCTTTGTGTTTGTGTCTCAGTTAAGGATTTCGGATAGTATGAGAGACTGGCAGTTTCCTCAGCTACAAGCTTCTAGTGGCAGGCTAGGGAATAGGGATAGTTTATGTGTAGACTTTGGGTAAGAGAGAGAAATAGGTCTGGGGAGATATAATATAAAGGGAGTGTCAGGTGTGGAGGTAACATGGTTGGGAACAATGGTTTTGGTGCTTCCTGCTTGTTCAGAGCCTCCTGAAACTTTTTTTTTTGTTTCCCAACTCTTTTCTACCAGCTACGGGGCTTCGGTCACCAGCTTCCATTTCCCCTTCTGTCATTTCTTTATCTCTTTATCTCTCTGTCTCTCTCTCTCAAATCAACAGACATTCCAGACCATTCTAGAACAGAGTAATACACAGTTTATCAAAGTTTAAATGCTCTTGGGCAGATTACTTCTTAGTCTCAGTTTCTATACTAGTGAAAATGAGGATCATACTTTACAAAGTAGCTATGGTATTCAAGTGGGATTTTTTGTATGTGCAAAATAGCATGTAAAATGCTTCTTATTCTGTTCTTGAGCCCTTTGGAATATATAGGCCTGTGGAAATTTTTTCTAATGATTTTTGCTTCTAATAACTTAAATAAAGCTAAAAAAAAAACACCTTTATATCCTGTACCTCTAACCCTTTTTTGTTTGTTTGTATGTTTTTTAGGCAATTGGGGTTAAGTGACTCGCCCAGGGTCACACAGCTAGTAAATGTCAAGTGTTTGGTCTGAGGTCACATTTGAACTCAGGTCCTCCTGACTTCAGGGCTGGTGCTTTATCCACTGCACCACCTAGCTGCCCCTTTTTGTTTGTTTGTTTGTTTTTTTTCCTCATTTAAACACTGTAGAGAATTGTAAAGTAATAAGTCCTTAATGATTTTCAAAATCATTAGAGAGATTATCTGGTCTAATCTCTTCATATTAGAGAAAAACTGAAGAATCCTGAAGCCCAGAGAGGTTGTGGTTTGAACCAGGTGTCAAGGCTAACAAGTAGCATTGCTTTGACTCTTGACCACATTGTTTCTCAGCTACATGTGGGTTCTTGCAGCATCTCGGGGTACACAAAAGTCTGAAATAAAATCTACATTTCAGTGGAAAAGACTTGAGCTAGGGATTTTCTTGACCGGGTAAGGTAGGAGTTCTAGGGTAAAAAACAAGATGGGTCGGAAGGTGGTAAACTCAAAGGCTGGGGATGCTACTGAACTAGACTGTCACAGGCTGGGAGAAACCTCAGCCAGTAAGGAGGGATGAGAATTTAATAATAATAATGATAGCACTTACAGGTTGCTTTAGAGTTTGTGTAGTTGTACCTATTAATACAGTGTTACTAGAATACTAAGTAATAATGAACTACAAAATCATCTTCCCTAGAAGTTTTATCTTTTAAATACTCTTTAATAAAGAGGCTAGACATTGCCAACCTGAATAACATATATAGAAATTTGGAAAGTTCTGTCTTGTACTGTTACTGTATTAACTTTTGTATTGTAATTTCCCAGTTAAGTTAAAATTTACTTAGATTTGTCTGTTCCTTTTTCTTTATGTAGTTATAGTGTTCATGGGCCCAAGCATGAAGAATCTATCATGAATCTAATTCAGAAGGAAGTAGAGAAGTATGATTCTTTAAGAGGATTTTCTACTATAATGAGTATGGCAGGAGGTACAGGATCTGGTTTGGGAGCCTTCCTCACACAGAACTTAAGAGATGCTTATCCAAATTCTTTTATAATAAATCAGATTATATGGCCCTATGGAACTGGTGAGGTAAGAGCATATTGCAAAATGTTTTCATTGAAAATTTTAGATTTAATTTTTTTAAAGAAGAGGTTAAAAAATCTGGGTCTTTTCATTCTCAATCTTCTTTAGAAAGTAATTCGTGTCTTCTGGGGGAAGCTAGGTGGCTCAGTGGATAGAGCTCTGACTCTGAAGTCAGGAAGACCCAAGTTCAAATCCAGCCTCAGATATTTTCTAGCTCTGTGACTCTGGGCAGGTCACTTAACCCTGCCTCCCTCCGTTTCCTCATCTGTGAAATGAGCTGGAGAAGAAATGATAAACCACTTCAGTATTTTGCCAAGAAAACCCCAAATGGGGTCATGGAGAGTCAAACACAACTGAAACAACTCAACATCTCTTCTAGAATGATTGTAGAGCATGATGTGTTCATGAGCAAGGCTCAACCTAGCTGTGCCTGTTTCAAATTTGAGTCAGTGAAACCTTTATAAAGACTGTGAAATATTTGCAATTCTGTTTTATGCCATAGAATCATCTGATAACATTATACAATCTTAGAACTTTTAGAGGTAAAAGGAGCCTTAGAAATCATTGAGCCCAACCTTTACATTTAATCTAAGGAGACATCTAATATCTCCTTTGCATAATTCATGTGTAACACAGTTTAGGAATCCTTAGACTAACCAGGTGTTTTACAAAGGTCACTCAGTCCATTCCCCTGCATCAAGAAAGAATTATACATAAACTATTTCAAATAAATGAGTGCTCTGTTACAACAGAGATTCTCTGGTTTTCTCCAGGAACCCATTCTTGTCTTAGTAAACATCACTAAGACATTTACTCAGTTCTTTTAATCTGATGTATATCTATAAAATTCACAGTTCGTAATTTCTTCACTGGAGATAAAATATAAATCATCTTCTATATGGGAACACTTCATGCAAACTCTTATTGAATTATCTATTCTTAATCTATCCAAGCAAAACAATTCAATTTCCTTGAGCCTTTTCTCGTGGTTCTCCTTTTCCAACTTTTAAACAACGTTTCTTTTCTTTGGAGAAGGGATTCTATATATCAATTCCTTACTGATTATACCAGAAGAAGCATTATGTCTCTATATTGAGACAAGTCAATATAAGGAGTGATGTAGGAAGGAAGGAAATATACAATGAAATGAGCAAATCATTTTTGATCTGTTTTTCTCATAGGTTATTGTACAGAACTACAACTCAGTTTTGACTCTTTCTCATCTGTATCGATCTTCAGATGCACTTCTTGTTCATGAAAATGATGTGGTGCATAAGATATGTGCTAAACTGATGAATATCAAACAGATCTCCTTCAGAGATGTGAATCAGGTTATTGCCCATCAGTTGGGAAGTGTATTCCAACCTACTTACTCTCCAGAAGACTCCTGTCAGTATCGAAGAAACCCATTAGGTAATCTGATCATCTTAAATGCTTGTTTTTCAATGAAAGGTCTTTTAGTTTTCTTGAGAGTAGCAAATATTATGTACTCTTTCATCTATTCTAAGGCATAAAATTGGGACAAACATAAATTTCAGTTTCATCCCCTTTGGCAATTTTTTATTTGAATTTCATTGAGTCTCTCTTCTACTGTAACTAAACTTTTCTAAATCTTCTGGTTTTCCTTAACAATACTGCTCTCTCAGAACTTTCAGTGTACTTTCTTGCTGTCTTTAATTAATGGCGCTGAGAAGGATCCCTTTGCTCCCTGTTGCCACTTTGTACTTTTTGTTCTCCCATTATACAGTAGTCTGTCGTGGAGTTATCTTTTGTAGTGTAAGATTTGTGTTCATACCATTTTTTTCTTTTTTAAACATTTTTAAAATTTTATTTATTTATTTTGAGTTTTCAACATTCACTTCCATAAGATTTTGAGTTTTCAGTTTTCTCCCCTTCCTTCCCTCTCCGCTCCCCAATACAGCATGCAATCTCATATAGGCTCTATATATGCATTCATATTAAACATATTTTCACATTAGTCATGTTGTAAAGAAGTGTTAGAACCAATGACAGGAACCATGAAAAAGAAGGAACAAAACAAAACAACAAAAGAAAAAAAGAGGTCAAATAGTATGCTTCAATCTACATTCAGAATCCATAGTTCTTTCTCTGGATGTGGATAGCATTTTCTTCCTTTCTTTTCTTTTTAAAATAATTTGTTTCAATGTTCGCTTCCATAAGATTTTGAGTTTAAAATTTTTTCCTCCTCCCTCCTCTTTAAAATGGTACACAATCTGATACAGGCTCTACTTATACATTCATATTAAACATTTTCACATTAGTCATGATGGTTTTTTGTTTTTGGTGAGGCAGTTGGGGTTAAGTGACTTGCCTAGGGTCACACAGCTAGTAAGTATCATGTGTCTGATGTTGGATTTGAACTCAGATCCTGACTCCAGGGCCAGTGTTCTATCCACTGCACAACCTAGCTGCCCCAACATTAGCCATGTTGTAAAGAAGAATTGGAACTAATGGGAGGAATCATGAGAAAGAAGGAACAAAACAACAAAAGAAAAAAAGAGGTCAAATAGTATGCTTCCATCTGCATTCAGACTCCAAAGTTCTTTCTCTGGATGTGAATAGCATTTTCTATCATGAGTCTTTTGGAGTTGTCTAAGATCTTTGCATTGCTGAGAAGAGCTAAGTCTATTAAAGACAGTCATTGCACCATATGGCTGTTGCTGTGTACAGTTTCTTCTCATTTCACTCAGTATCAGCTCATATAAAGTCTTTCCAGGTTTTAAACGACATATTGTAGGATTATGGTTCTTAATCCACTCTGCTATCCACTTCAGTTTATGGGAGAGTTCATCCCATTCACATTCACAGTTGTGATTACTATCTGTGTCTTTCTCTTCATCCTATTTTTCCCCCCATTTATGCTTTTCTCTCTCCTTTCTCACTTTCCTTCCTCACTAGAGTTTTGCTTTTACCCATTGTCTCCCTCAGTCTGCCCTCCCTTCTATCAGCCCCCTCCCTTTTCTTCTCCTTTACCCTTGCTACTTCTTCTCTCCCTTCTATCCACCTCCTCCCTTTTCTTTCCCCTTTCCCCTCCTGCTTCCCATAGGGTAAGTTAGATTTCTATACCTAACTGATTATGTTATTCCCTCTTTGAGCCAAATCTGATGAAAGTAAGATTCAAACAATGCTTATCTCCTTCCCTTCTTTCTCTCTACTGTAATGGGTTTTTGTGCCTTTGCATGTGGTGTAATTTACCTTTGTCTGCCTCCTCCTTTTCCTCTTCTCCCAGAACAATCCCTTTTCACCACTTAGATTTTTTGTCATCACATCAAAGGCAGTTTATACCGATGCCCTCTGTCTATGTATACCCCTTTTAAATGTCTTTCCTATTTACCTTTTTATGCCCCCTTTTTTTTTTTGCTTTTTTTTCCCCCCTTTTTATGCCCCTCTTGAGTCTCATATTTGAAGATCAAATTTTCTGTTGATCTCTGGTCTTTTCATCAGGAAGGTTTGGCAGTCCTCTGTTTCATTGAATGTCCATCTCCTCCCCTGAAAGATTATGCTCATTTTCGCTGGGTAGTTGATCCTTAGTTGTAATCCAAGCTCCTTTGCCTTATGGAATATTGTATTCTGTGCCCTTTGATCTTTTAATATAGAAGCTGCAAGATCCTGCGTAATCCTGACTGTGGTTCTGTGATATTTGAATTGCTTCCTTCTGGCTGCTTGTAGTATTTTCTCTTTGACCTGGTAGTTTTGGAATTTGGCTACAATATTCTTGGCATTTTCAATTTGGGATCTCTTTCAGGAGGGTGATCAGTAGGATTCTTTAAATGATTACTCTGTTTCTAGAACCTCAGAGTAGTTTTCCTTGATTATTTCCTGAAAGATGCTGTCCTGGCTCTTTTTCATCATAGTTTTCAAGTAGACCAATAATTTTTAAATTGTGTTTCCTGGATCTATTTATTAATATCTCCTGGATCCATGTCAGTTGTTTTACCAATGAGGTATTTTATGTTTTCATCTATTTTTTCATTCTTTTGTTTCTGTTTGACTGATTCTTGATATCTCGTAGAGTCATCAGCTTCCATTTGCCGAATTCTAATTGTTAACGAATTGTTTCCTTCTATTAGATTTTGTACCTCCTTTTCCATTTGGCCCATTTCACATTTTCAAGAGTTCTCCTTTTCAGTGAGTTCTTGTGCCTCCTTTTCCATTTGGCCAATTCTTCTTTTTAAGGAGTTGATTTCTTCAGTGTACTTTTCCTCCCATTTGGCCAGTTGTATTTTTTGTTTTGTTTTGTTTTAGGCAATTGGGGTTAAGTGACGTACCCAGGGTCACACAGCTAGTAAGTGTCAAGTGTTTGGTCTGAGACTGGATTTGAACTTGGATCCTCCTGACTTCAGGGTCAGTGCCACCTAGCTGCCCCTCAATTGTATTTTTTAAGGACTTGTTTTCTACAGTCAATTTATGTCCTTCTTTTTGACTCTCTCTTGCATACCTGTCATTTCCTTTCCCAATTTTCCTTCTACCTCTCTTACTTGACTTTTAAAATCCTTGAGCTCTTCCAAGAAGGCTTTTCAGATGTGGGTATATTGATAATGTTGTCTTCTTCTGAATTTGTGCCTTGATCTTCCCTGTTCCCATAATAAGAATCTGTGATCATTGTCTGTTTCCGCTTTCTGCTCATGGTGTTTGCCTATTTCCTGGCTTTTAAAGTTGAGCTCTCCTACTGGAGCGCAGGGGGCACTGATTCAAGCTGCTTGTGCTGGGAGCCTGGGACCTAGTCACAGGCTTGGTGTTCTGGGGCTTCAGGTGCTGGTAGCTGGAGGCTGTAGGTGTCTAGCACTTTACCTGGTGTTGGGCTGGAATCAGCAACACTGGAGCTCTTGGGGTGTGGGTGGGGAGTCTGGCCCCTGGGGGACACCTGCTCACCCGGACTTCTGTAAAGCACTCAAATGTTTGGCTGCTGGAGGATATCTGCCAGCCTGGAGTTGTGCTGAAGCACTGGGACATTTGGCTGCTGGAGAACGCAGTACACATGATGGTTTCCAGGCTGGTGTTTACTAATTCCCCTGCCTGTGCTGAGGCACTTGGGAGGGAAGGGAAGGGACGTATCCTGGTGTTGGTACTTGCCTGCTGCACCACCATGGGGCTCAGGATCTCCTCTTGATTTGCTGAGGTAGGGCTTGCTGGGATGCTTTCCTGTGGTGCTCCCCCTCCTCCAGAGTGAGAGGGGCTTTCCCCATTAATCCCCCAAGCTTCTAGGATTACAATACTGCTGTACCCTATCTTCCTGCTGGCTCAGCTCCAGGGTTTTTCCTGGGGTGATATTTTCTGGGCTTTCAGAGGTCAATAAGGGAGGATGAGAATGACTTACTTCTTACTCCGACATCTTGGCTCAACATATATGATTTCTTAACCCCTTCCTATTATCTCAGTCTGTCAGCCACTGCAGCAGTGCCCTCACTAGCCCCCTAAAATTGCTTGCCCATTTGACCTTCTTCCTTGCCAGCACTCAATTCTAAATAATCCTCACTTTGCTGACTTGGTCTGCTACAAATTTGTGCTATTTAAACCTCAGCTGGGCCATCACTGATACTCAAGATCTGTATTCATCTCTTTACTAACTCCCTTTTCTGTTTTCCACAGCAGCTTTTTCAAATTTTAAATTCTATTCAGACTTACCATCCTTACTCCTTACAATCAGCAAATGACCTGCATTCCTAGTTTACATAAAACTGAGCTTCCTCAACCCCTCTCAAAACTCAGAATTTCGCACCATCACCAATTCTGCCTGACTGAAAATACATAGCCTCTCTTCTTATGAAGAATAAATTCTTTACGTTAAGGCTTGTTCTATCAGTTATTCCTTGTTCTTCCCTTGTATCTCCATCATCTCTTTTTCTGTTGGCTGTTTCCTTTCTACATGAAAACCTGTTCAGCTCTTTCTATAAAAAATAAAAATAAAATAAAAGATAAACCATCTTTCCCTGTACACTTTACCTATTAAACTTCTTGTGACAAGCAGTTTATACACTTCATTTGCTTACTTATGAGTCCTTGGCAATTTGGCTTAGACCTCTCTTCATTCTACTAAAACCATTCTGTAGAAAATCATAAGTGCTGTCTTGATTGATACATTCAGTGGTCTTTTTTTCTTCTATCTTATTAAAAACATTTTTATTGATACATCTTGTTTCAACACATCAGTCTCTTCCTGTAGTATCTTCCCATAAAAAAGCAAAATCACCTGATAAAGTGATTGTAACTGGCAATATACATTACTTTGCATTTTTATATTTTATCATTTGTTAACATGAAGTAATTTATGCTTTATTAATATTAATAACAATCTAATAACCAACATGGTCTGTTATGTTTTACTTCAGTGAGTTTTTGTCAATCCTCACCTCCTTTGACCTCTCTGCAACATATTAAACACTATTGAGTATCCCCTAATTCTTCAAAACCTGCTTTCCCTGGTTTCCATAAAATACCACATTGATTTTTGTCTTTTTTGCTTAGTTTTGTTTTTCTGCACATTAAATGTAGCCATTTTTCAAGGTTCCATCCTCAACCATGTTCTCTTCCTGTACCCTCCCTGGGTTTTCTCATAAACTCTTAGGCTTCAGCTATGATATTTATTCAAATGACTTCCAATTTACCTATCTAGCCTAGCCCCAACCTGAGCTTCTGTTAGACATTTTCAATTCTATTAAACATCTTAATCTTTTTATATTGCACCAAATCACAAATTCAACCTAAAACTAAGTTCATCTTTATTCCCCAAAGTAGGTCTTCCTCCTGACCTTTTCTTTTCTGTTAATGGTACCTCCATTCTCTTAGCTACATGGACTTGAGAATTCAGTATCATTTTTGACCCCGACTCTTTTGTCTCCATCTCCACGTCTGATCTTTAGGTTCTGTCAAATTCACTTCCTCTTTGTTTCTGGATTTCATCCATTCTGTTTTGGCTACCATCATCATAGTTCAGACCCTTGTTACTTTTCACCAGTACTACGTCAGTGGCCTTATTGCTTGTGGCCTTTTCCCCTTCCAAGTCTTCCTGCACAACACTGTCAGGTTAGTCACAAAGTATAATAGATTACATCATTCTCCTGATCAGAACCTTCACCACGTGCTTGTCAGATGGAGCTCATCATTTCTTAATGTTCACTACATGCAAGGCACTGTGCTAGATGCTGTGGGGTGTGCAGAAGTGAACACCAAATGACTCTGCCCGTGATGAACTTGATACTTTCTGTTTTGTACTTTTCTGATTTGGAAGTGCTGTGATAAAGATGTAAGCCAAGTACAATAGGAACATAGATGAGACAGAGAGAAATTACTTCTAGTTTGAGAGCTCAAATAAAGCTTTTTGGAGGGAGTGGTACTGGATTATAAAATTTTGACAAGCAGAGATGAGGGCAAGAGAAAAGATATGCTAAGTAGAGGGGTTACAGTGTGAGCAAAGGCATGGAGATGGGAAAGTACATAGTATGTGTAGGAAATGGAAAGAAGTCCTCTTAGCTAAGGCACTTAGTATATGAAAGGGAATAATGGGAAATAAACCTGAAAAATTAGGTTGAAGCCAGATTGTGGAGGATCTTGAATGTCAAACCAGAGAGTTTAGAATTCATAAGCAATAGAAAGCCATCAGTGGATTTTGACTGTTCAGTGACATGATTAATCTGTTCTTTCAGCTCCTCATAACTTGCTGGATAAAATCCAGATTCATAAGCTGACATTCGGGTTTGAAATCTATGATCCTGTGATTCCTGCCCCTCTTCTCAGAGCAAACAAAAGTTTACACATGTATGCACATTCCATCCTGGAGGTATTTCTAATCCACCTCCATCTCTATCACATATTGATACTTGGTTATTTTTCTTTCAGTTATATCTGTAAGCAAATAAAAATCCTTTCTTCTAAGAATGTCCCCAAGAGAATATGTTAGAGAATTTAGCACGGTAGAAAGGCAGGTTAGCAATTGTGCGTCTTTTGATAATTTATTTATTGCAGTGCATAGAAAACGTACCTGGCACATAGTATGTACTTAATGAAAGGTTATTGACTTGACTTACTTTATTTTTTTTTCTTTAAGTTCTCAGTTATTCATCTTCTAAACTCTCATTTGGTCTCTAAGCTAAGTACAGTAGTAGGTGAGGTGGGAGACAGGTGGAAGCCTACCTTCTGCACTCCTACCCTGTATTGACACAGTGGGGCAAAGTTGTAATGGCCTTGTGCCAGTCATGGCTCTGGGCACAAGTGTGTTGATTAATACTTTTGCTAGATATTAACTTGGCAGATATGTTGTTTGCATTAGACATATTTCCCCTGCAATTGTCTTTTAATGTCATTCATTTTGAATAATCCTGGTCTTAGAAAATAAAATACATATTTTGGCATCAAATTGATCAGTTCAAAATACACACACGTGTGTGTGTATAAAACATACATATATAATATACATATGTGCACTAGGATATATATGTCACTACATGCATGTATGTGTGTAATTTAATAACAATGATCTGGAGTAGTTAATTAAAGATATTCCTCCCTCTTCCTAGGAGACCTGATGGCAAGCTTAGTTCCGCACCCTGAATTCAAAATGCTGGGTCTCCGTAACATTCCTCAAATGTCTGAAAACTCGTTGGCGTACACCACCTTTGCTTGGACTGGATTGCTCAAGCATTTAAGACAGATGCTCATTTCTAATGCTAAAATGGAAGAAGGTAAAAAGTGTATTTTTTTAAAAAATGTTCCCACAATCTGGGCTTTGAGAACCTCTAATATTAATAGATTTGGACCTGCTAGGGTAGGACTCCCAAATATAGTACTGCTTCCCAAAAGTCCCAGTGGTTTGAGTTGCTTTTTTTCCTCCATGCCCCCTAAACAAAATTGTAAATCAGCTTTAGACAATGCTGTTATACAGTCATCTGTTCCAGCCCTGTTATTATTCCTTAAATTAACAACTTCCATGACTATTTAATAATTTGATTTTGGGTTTTGATCCTGTATATTTTGGTTAATTTGTCTCTGATGGCCTTAATTTCTTAAATAGCACATAATAGCTCTGTTCTACATCTGTGATAATTCTTAACCAAAATGAAAATATTATAAGTTTCAGAACTAAAAAAGTACATTGCCTACATGTTTTACTTTGCTACTTCTTGGATTTTCTTACTATAGTACTTTGTTATTATTATGCTAGAGTTTTGTGGATGTGTCTTGTAATGTACTCCCTAATTCATTTCTTTCCCAGTCAAGAACTGAAACAATTTTATGGAGCTAGGGAATAAGGAAGAAATTGAATTAGCAATATGTTCTATTTACATTCCTCTAAATTCTCCCATTCTTTGTTACTGCATGTTTGTACATCATTATTGTCAGAGTATACATGCTGTTTGTGTGTATATGTATGTAAGTGTGTGTGTGTGTGTATTTTTTTTAAACCTGCTAGGCTACAGGCCATTTTTCATAGCAATATATAGGATTCCATTATATTAATATACTATAGTTTCCCCCTTTTATTGGGCATTTGAGTTGTTTCCAATTTTTTGCTATTATAAATATCGCTGTTGCAAATATCTCTGTGGACATCATTTTTTTTCTCCTTGGTTATTTCCTTGAGATATTTTCTAAAAAGTAGAGTTATTGGCTCCGAGTAGATGAGGTGTTTAATAAAAGCAAACTTTTATTACATGTGAGGGAATTTTGAGAATTGTGTGAACCAAACTGACTTCGTCTTGAGATTCATTCCAAGATCTAGCTCAGTTCCCTTTCTATTCAAATATGGGTCCAGTCTAATTTCTATTTTGTGAGAAAACTTTATTCAGTTATGGGACTTGTGAGAAAACTTTATTGCACTGTTTGAACCTAGCTTTGAGTGGCTAGGAAGCTGGACCACCTCTACCTGTAGCTTAGAGACCTTTAATTTTTTTTTAAATTTTATTAATTTATTTTGATTTATCAACAATCACTTCCATATTCTTTTGAGTTGAAAATTTTTCTCCCCCTTCCTCCCCAACATGGCGCACAATCTGATATAGGCTTTACATTTACATTCCTTATTAAACATATTTTCACATTAGTGAAGTTGTAAGTAAAAATTAAAACCAATAGGAGGAACCATCAGAAAGATGAAACAAAACTCAACAGAAGGTAAAAATAAGTGATAGCGATTCAATTTCCATAGTTCTTTCTTTGGATGTGGACAGCATTTTCCATCACGAGGCCTCTGGAGATGTCTTAGATCCTTGTAATGCTGAGAAGGATTCAGTTTAACAATCTTAGTCATTGCATAACGTGGCTGTTATTGTGTACAGAGCCCTCTTGGTTCTGCTCACTTCACTTAGCATCAGACCACATAAGTCTTTCCAGGTTTTTCTGAAGTCAGCCTGTTCATCGTTTCTTATAGCACAATAGTATTCCATTACATTCATATACCACAACTTGCTTAGCCATTCACCAGTTGATGGGCATCCTCTCAATTTCCAATTCTTTGCCACCACAAAAAGAGCTGCTATGAATGTTTTTGTACATGTGGGTCCTTAGAGACCATTAATTAACGATCTAGGTTATGCTGACCAGAAATCCAGTCAGATCCAAAGATTGATGGAAGGAGTTTTCTTATAATTATACATTTCATACACTCCATATGTCTTATCTGAAAACTGTTGTCCTGGTCAATCAGTTAGTTTCCATGTTCCTTTGATTGAATACAGACACTTGGGAGGAGTAAGACTCCTTTTTTTCTGATTTCAGGGAACTGTACCTGTTCACTTTCCCACCACTCAATTTTCAAAACCCTTTCCACCCATACCCCAATTTGAAACACCCCTAATCTTTCCCTTAATTAGAAATCAGATTACCTAATCTTGTATCCTGGTTTATATCCTGTTAATAGTTTACTTTTAATGTATAAAAATCTGTCTCTCCCTGTATTCAGGGTCCAGTGCCAAGCCAAGGAAGGCCTGGTCCCAATTTGTTACATAATTAATATCCATTGCTTTAATAAATTGATGTGCTCAGAAGTTTGAACTTTTATTTCCTCAGTCATTTCAGATTCCACCTACCAGGACAGCCTTTCAGAAAAGAATCCCTAAGGGGCAGCTAGGTGGCGCAGTGGATAGAGCACCGGCCCTAAAGTCAGGAAGACCTGAGTTCAAATCCTGCCTTAGACCAAACACTTGACACTTACTAGTTGTGTGACCCTGGGCAAGTCACTTAACCCCAGTTGCCTTAAAAAAAAGAAAAAGAAAAAAATCCCTTGAGTATTCTGGTCAGTCTTTCACTGAGGGACTTTTTTGTGGAAAACTGACCCCCAGAGGTCAAACTCCCCTCAAGTCCAAATTCTTCCAAGCTAAGGAAAGGTCTACCTCCACACTACTGGAGATGGTTTACCCCAACCCTGACAGTTCAGGACTCCCTCAGGATTCCCCCCTAGGATAAAATTTCTTTTTGCGTGAAACCAGGGGAAGAGTGAACTGTTAAATTGACACCCCTTTAGGAAATTCTTATTGGCCTGGAATTTTCTATACAAGAGTACAGGGTGTGACTAAAAGATAGAACTCTCAAATTATGTTTAAATATATCAAAATCCAAACAAGTCCCAAATTTGGGACAAATTAAGAGCCTGGAGATTAGACTGTCAATAGGAGATAAGGAGGCTAGCAAGTATGTATTGTTTTGTCTGTGTTATTGTTGCCTGGTAAAATGGAGAAAAATCTTTGTCTTTGTGTCATGGTCGTTTGTTGTTTGTAGATTTTGCTACCTTGAAAGATTTGTAAGGGGAAAATGCAGCCAACCAGAAAAACTGCTAAAATCTGCAGCCAGAGAGTTTAGAATGCTGGGGAAGATTAATGAAGTTTCATGGTTTCATACATGAAGCAGTGATGCCAAACTCTGCCCCAGTAAGCAGTACTAACTCCCACTTTAGTCTTTCAGTGGGAGATTAGGTTAAAAAGAAAAAAAAACCAGCTAGATACTTTGTCATTTCAGCCCTGGCTATGTTGGGATTACAAAGATAAAGTCAGATAATCAAAGAAAGGAAATCCTTTTCCTAGTTTGTAAAATTGCTAAAAAAAACCATCTCGGTTGATTTTGGAGCTTTGGAGAGTAAGGAAATTAGAAATTAATCATTTAGGAGTTTGGAGCTTGATCATTTTAAGATTTCAGGGGAGAACTTTTGGGACTCTGTGTAATTCCAGGAACTTTCCCTCTTCTCTTTGTCCTATCTGATAAGGTACTTAGCAGAAGTTTAACATATACTGAAATATCTTAATGAGTTTTGGGATACCAGTCTATAAAATTTGTTTTAAGGAAAAATAAGAATTGAATTCTGTAAAAGTTTCAGGGGGTTAAGTAACACTTAGATCACTTTTTTCCTGAAGATTAATAGACCTGTTATTTTGTTGTAGTGAAGGAAGATAGTTAATTTGAAAGTAATCCCAGGGTGAAGAAAAAAAATAAGTATACAGTTTGCATTTTAAATATATCTGAAATTTAAATAACTGCCTGTTGTTAACCTTTTCTTGACTGTGAAAAGAGAAAAGATTGTTTAAATCAAGGAACAGCTTAAAAATGAATAAAAGTTAGGAGGCAGCTAGGGATGAAGTTGATAGAGCATCAGTCTTGGAGTCAGGTGGACCTGAGTTCAAATCTGGACTCAGGCACTTACTAGCTGTATGACACTGGGCAAGTCACTTAACCCCAATAGCCCCCCCCAAAAAAAGAATAAAATTTAATTAAGGAGTGGAAAGGGTGATTTAAACTGTAGAGGGGTCTGTGAGGAGGGACACTCTTCTCCACCCCCACCATCACGTAGGCCTGTACCCTGTTTTAAATAATAGGGATAGATATTCACAGTGACAGCAGAGGGGAGGTACACAGGAACCAGGAATATCTTTTGGGAAAGATGAAGTAGAACTTTCAAATCTGTATATACCAGAATTAATTGTTTAGGTAAATTAGAAGCAAGGTCACCAAAGAATATTAGAATGAAACTATTCATTCATAAGCTTTAGAAACCCAAAAAGGTAACAGAATTACAGTTAATCAGGGTGATGTGAAATTTTGTGCTAAATTGCAAAGCAGAAATAACAGATGTATGGGGGGCAGCTAGGTGGCCCAATGGATAGAACTACAGCCTTGGAATCAGGAGGACCTGAGTTCAAATGCGGCCTCAGATACATAACACTTACTAGCTATGTGACCCTGGACAAGTCACTTAACCCCGATTGCCTCGCCATAAAGCCCAAAAACAAAAACAGATGTAAAAGTAAATTATGAATGTTACCTGCTATTTTTATTGGTAACAAATTAATCTTTAGGTTTAGTGCCATACTGAACTACAAAGGGGTTATTTTAAAGATTTAGACAAAAGAATAATAGAATTTTTCTATAGGAACAAAAAGTCAGAAATCTCAAGGGAAACAATTTACAAAGTAGCAATAAGGGGGAGTTAGACGTACCAGTTCTCAAATAATATTATAAAGAAATAATCAAGGGCAGCTAGGTGGTGCAGTGGATAGAACACTGGCCCTGAAGTCAGGAGGACCTGAGTTCAAGTCTGGCCTGAGACCAAACATTTGACACTTACTAGCTGTGTGACCCTGGGCAAGTCACTTAACCCCAATTGCCTTAAAAAAAAATTAAAACAGTTTGGTAATGGTTAAATATGCACAAACTGATCAGTGATACAGATTATATAAACAAAAATTAGAAGTGATTG